AATTTATAATGCCAGAGACAGAGCATTATAAAAGGACATGTTGGCCTGGCTTGTCAAACTTAAAACAAAGGGCTGCCTTAAATTTTTGATAAAAGATAATGTTGGGTTTAACAAATTTTGGAGTCACACAAATTCATAGATTTTTAGGCCAGAAAAGGTGGGAAAAGGGACCATTATGATCATGTAGTCTGACCTTCTGCATAACAGAGGCCATTAAAGTTTCATCCAATGATTGCTGCATTGAGCCTAACAGTTTGTGGTTGAACTGGAACGCATCTCTTAGCAAGACATTCAATCTTCATTAATGTAATTGCTAAGAAACCAGACATTTTCTTTAGCAAACAATTGTAGAAGTTGAAGATGAAGCCATACTATTCCTGTTCTGTGTCTTCTTGACTTCAAGCATCTCTGTTTTAATTATTGTTCTAGGTTAATCACACATGGATAACACATGGATAACTATTAAAATGTGTACTCATTGCTGATTGGTAAAGTACTAATTTCTTTTATTGATTCTTCTCTTTGCAGATATTATAGTTGAAAGCACTATGTATACTGTTCTTTAAACACTAATATCTTTCCAAGGAAAATGGTTTTATCTACATGTATTCTTTCCCTTTTTTTGGTAATTGTATGCTCTTAAAGAATTTGTTCAGTGTTTATGGCTTGACCTAGATGTAGAAAATTGCAAATACCAGAAACCCAATTAAAGCATTTTTAAAAAGCTGTTACCCCCACCAGTACCAGGTGCTTCAGTGGAAAATGCAAGGAATACCATATTAGATATTGGTCTGGTCAATAGTTTTATTTTTTAAACTCGTTCAGTTTGCCCTTCTATGCAAAGTTAGATAATTTTTAAATGATCTGTTTTAAACCTGTTGCAGGGAACTTCTAAGATGGCTAACAAATTAGAATTTTTTTCTCCATTTGACAACACTTTGTGTAAACTCCATTTTCACTGTTTGCTCTGTGTTGTCAGTTAGAAAGGGAGACTAACTGAGAAGTCTCCTGTAAAAATACCTCATTAGATTAAAAATGAGCATAAGGAGTTTTCTGAATGAATTTTAAAAAGACCAGCTATATTTTCTAAAGTGTTCGCTATCAGAAAATGAGCTACTTCCAGTTTTTTAAAATATACTAATTTAAAGTATTCCTTGTATCTTGGATTATTTTAATAAGAGCTATGTTTGTTAATACTTGAGATGGAATCTCTAGCCGTGACTCAGTAGAGGTGCTTAAATGCTGGTTGCATTTTAATAAGATGCCAAGTTCCTTTACAGCTCAATTCTGGAAGCCTTCTGCATGTAGGACTCTCATTGAAGTCAGTGGGTGTTTTGCAAACAGAGCTTGCAAAGAGCCCTTAGAGCAGTAATATGGAGGCAAAGAGAATAACTATGTTGTTAATCCATGTATTGCTTTGAAAGGTGTACAGTAGAACCTGGTTATCTGAGAGTCTCGGAATACCTGCCCTCCCCAATAGGGTAATGTGAAATAACACAATGAGCAATTATAATAGACAACAGTTAGTTTTATTGTATAAATAAGATGTTTATTTACTCCTCTTAGTGAACTAGAGCACACACTTCTGCACCATACCACTTCTTGACATCCTAACAGGTTATTGTCTCATTTTTCCTCCCAACACTCCCAATTGTTTTTGCTCTAATTTTTCTTAATAGGATATGTAGGAACTAGTGTTGACAAAGCAAACTACTTTGAATTCCTTATTTATCCAGGAGGGCGCAGGTGTAGGCTCTGATGTGTTCATTCATAAAATTGGCTGGATTATGTAAAAGGTCTAGTAGATTATGTTTAATTGGTTTTGCACATGTATCATTTAAATGTCTGGACATTCCTATAGTTCAAGTGTAAAACACTTCTTATGTACAGCCTTTTAATTCTGTGGCTGAATCTTAAACACCAGACCAAGGAATAGCTGTTTAAATTGTAAGTGCTAGGAACTCTTGACCGTTGCAAGTTCAAAACAGTGGGTTATACATTCTACTTGTAGGGAAAGTATTTACAACTACATTCATTAAAGAAAATTTCACTTAAAAAGAAAATGTAAGTTAATCAAGGAAATTACAGCACATAATATTCTGAACATTCAGATGCCTTTTAACTAACTAATATGAATTGGGCAGCTTCTTCGTCCCTGGAGCTGCTAGTTTAATGAGAAACCCCGCATGATCACATGTTACCAAGACAGGAAGGTTAAAGTTGCAAAAACTAGGAACTTCATGACATTTCCACAACTCTTAGAACAAGACTGTTCTTTCTGGGATCTCTCGTTTACTGTAAGAAAAACATTTCATAAACAGAGCACTTCAGCTATTGCTTGTATTTAATTGCAGATTGTGTTTTTGTAACTCTGATCATCCGGTTTTGATGCAAATATATGTTAGCTTAATGACAGTATGGCTGTCTATTTTATATTTAGTGTTTTACTCTGCAGTGTCATCTTGGGTTCTAAGGATCTTATCAAATGTTTCTCTGTTATAACAGCAATTAGGTCTTCAATGACAGAGGTTGCCCCATTGCCTCAAATGGGGTTGCACATGTATCTGATGATGTATTTGGAACTCCATAGAATTTACTTTGAATACCCACAGGAAATAGACCTCTTAATTAAGAAAGTGCCACTTCTAAACAGTATCTGGATTGTGTAGTGCAAAGAGGAGATGTACACCATAATTAATGGTCTAGAGAACGCAAACAGAGTACTCAGACTTATAACAAAAACACAAGGCGACTTCAGATTATACCAAAAGAGAAGTTTAAAATTGTAAAATTTGTTTACACAATGCATAATTGTGGGGCCAAAAGAAATCTGATGAGGTTCAATAAGGATAAGTGCAGGGTCCTGCAATTAGGATGGAAGAATCCAATGCACCGCTACAGACTAGGGGCCGAATGGCTAGGCAGCAGTTCTGCGGAAAAGGACCTAGGGGTGACAGTGGACGAGAAGCTGGATATGAGTCAGCAGTGTGCCCTTGTTGCCAAGAAGGCCAATGGCATTTTGGGATGTATAAGTAGGGGCATTGCGAGCAGATCGAGGGACGTGATCGTTCCCCTCTATTCGACATTGGTGAGGCCTCATCTGGAGTACTGTGTCCAGTTTTGGGCCCCACACTACAAGAAGGATGTGGATAAATTGGAAAGAGTCCAGCGAAGGGCAACAAAAATGATTAGGGGTCTAGAACACATGAGTTATGAGGAGAGGCTGAGGGAGCTGGGATTGTTTAGCCTGCAGAAGAGAAGAATGAGGGAGGATTTGATAGCTGCTTTCAACTACCTGAAAGGGGGTTCCAAAGAGGATGGCTCTAGACTGTTCTCAATGGTAGCAGATGACAGAACGAGGAGTAATGGTCTCAAGTTGCAGTGGGGGAGGTTTAGACTGGATATTAGGAAAAACTTTTTCACTAGGAGGGTGATGAAACACTGGAATGCGTTACCTAGGGAGGTGGTAGAATCTCCTTCCTTAGAGGTTTTTAAGGTCAGGCTTGACAAAGCCCTGGCTGGGATGATTTAACTGGGAATTGGTCCTGCTTCGAGCAGGGGGTTGGACTAGATGACCTTCTGGGGTCCCTTCCAACCCTGATATTCTATGATTCTATGATAACTAAAGAATAAGCAGCCCATAGACAAATTTCTTCCTAACCCAATCCGTGAGAGATTAGTTTATACCCCAAAGCAGGAATGCATGTATTGATTGATAAATATCTGTGAATGTTCTCTGTTCCTTTTTTGAATTGTACTAAATTGTTGACATAAATTATACCTTGAGGCATTGAGTTCCACATGTTAATTATGGATTGTGTTTAATTTTTTTCCCTTTGTATTGGATTTAAATTTTCTGCCCTTCAATGTAATTGTTCTTGGATTATGCAAAAGGATAATTAAGAGTGTGTCCTACTCTTCTTCTCTATCATTCACAATTGGTCTACCTCCATCATGTCTCCTCTTAGGCACCCATGCTTTACGGCTCTAATTGTCTCCTGGCACCTAAAAACTCCAAACCTTTCCAGTCTCTTACTCTTCTCATTGGGAAGTCAATGCTTCTAACCCTTTCTGTTGCCTGTCTCTTTATTTCTAAGCTATCCTTTTTGAGATAGGATGACCTGAACTGGACACAGCATTTCAGAAAAAGGTATAGCATTGATTTATATGATGGGATTATTTTAATGTTCAGCTCTATTCTTTATGCTTCTTAAAACATTGTTTACTTTTTATGACTGCTGTGGCCTATTGAGCAAAATATTATTGGTCTGGGGTAGCAGGAGGGCTCTTCAGCCTGGGAAGGGTGGGGGCGTATACTTTGTCTAAAGGGCAGCACCAACAGTCCTGGCGCTGTCCCTCTGAGGAGTTCACACCCCCTTAGGCTGGGTAGCACCCCCACATCTGTTTTAGCACGTTTTAACTGCGCACACCTAACTTCCACTTTAAAGAAGCGTTGGAAGTGCCTGGCTTGTGCTCCCACAGCTGGTGGAGGCCGACGTTTTTGGGAAGCGCCATGGGGCAGCAGCAGATCCCCTTACGGGGGGCCTGCAGCGGGAGGGCCTAGGCCAGTGAAAGGGGGTGTGCAGAGTGGACGCGAGTGCACAGTGCAGACCTCAGGAGCAGGGGGCCTGGGGTGCAGGCTCCCAGTAGGGGCTGGGCCTGCACGGTGCACTGAGGGAGTCCGACGGTGGAGGCCGCAGGGAAGATGGCGGCGGCCGCAGCCCCTCTCTTTCATCGTCCGTCCCCACAGCGGGCCAGCTACTGCAGAGTACCCCCCTTCCGAGTACGTTTCCCAGTATGCTCTGCGGTCCGTGACTACATTTCCCAGCAAGCTGTGCGCCAGTCTCCAGACTACCTTTCCCAGCCGGCCGTGCGTCGGTCAGGCGGGGGCGCGCCTTGGGGACTACGTTTCCCAGCATGCCGTGCAATCCCGGGTTCGGAGGGGGCCGCACTCGACGGCCGCGAAGGACGCTGGGAGCAGCAGTCCGCGGGGCTTGCGCGCGCCGCGAGGCGGGTCTGGGGCGTGTCCTCGGGGTATATAGGCAGCCGGAGGGGCCGGGGGCTGCACTCTGCCGCCGTCGCCCCTGTCAGGCTCCATGAAATCTGCTGCCGCCTGTGCTGACCTCGCCCCAGGCCCCCCGCCTAGGTACCGCGGCACGGGCTGGGCGCGCCAGGCCGGCTTCGCTGTGGGGGGCGGGCCGAGCGGCGTGGGGGGGAGCCGGTGTGCGGGGGAGGGGGCGAGTAGCGCGGGCCGACCCGCAGGGCCGTGGCTCCGCGCCGCTGGGGCGAGCAGTGACGGGGGCGGCGAGGAGGGGGGACGCTGGGAAAGGCTGGGACCCGGCCCGGTTCCCCTCTGCGCGGCGCCGCCCTCCCCCCCCCCCGGTGGTACGTGCCGGCCCTTGCCCGGGCGCCGCGCGGGCCCGTTCGGAACGCTGGGGATCCCACGTGACTCGGCCCCGGCCTCCGCCATGTTGGTTGGGGGCAGAGGAGCCCCACAAGGCAAACCTGCCGCGGCGCTGGGGGCGGGGCTATCCGCGTCACGTGGCCTCGGCCGCTGCCTGTGAGCGGCCGCCGTTGGGGTTTGGCGCCAAACAGGGGGCGGGGGCGGTCCGGGGAAAGGCGGGAAAAGGGCCTATTGTCTCCATGAGGGGCGGTGCCTCCTGAGGGAGCGAGGCCCCGCCCCGAGCGCGGGGCTGTGTGTGGTGGAGGGCAGTCACTCCCCCCACCCCCAAGCGCTGCGGGGGGGGGGGCGGGGAAGGTGGCTGCAGTCACCCCGCCCCATGGTGATGTTTGTGTCTGGTGGCAGTGTGTGGCCGTGATTGCTCCCCTCAGCTGGGGGGGTGGGGGGCATGGTACTGTCTCCTCATGTTGGGTGGGAGGCCCCATTGTACCTACCTCGTGTAAACGTAGCCATTAGCCTTGGCTGTGGGATGCCAGGTCTGGCCCTATGGCTTCCACTCCTGTGCCAGGCCTGGCTTTGATAGGAGCCTGGCTGTGTGACTTGCTCATTGTGAAGATGCCTCAGCGCTTGGCATAGCCAGGCGAAGGGGTTGGGGGTTGTATAAGTGATTAACACCAGTGGGCTGAGCCTCGGATACCCCTTTATATGGGGTACCTATGATCCCTTTTCTAGAAGTCAGGAGTTCTGAAGGGCAGACTTTAAATCCAAGGCCGGGGCAGAGTAGGATTTGGAGTTCAGGGGTGTAGGCACCAAACCCACAGGCCACACAGACATCTCTGTACTTGCAGCCCCAGGTACGGCTGTAGTTCTCTACAAAATAACTACCCTAACTTGTACAGCATGGGTTAGGAAGGCTGGTTTAGTAGGTAGGGCACTGGAGAGCTGAGTTCAGTCTCATCTCACCTAAAAATTTCCCATCTGACCATATATGAGTGAATGTGTTCTGTGTTTCCATTCCCCACCTAGACTAATACGTTCTTATCTCTGTGTTGGGATGATAAAGTCCAGTAATAATTGAGATACTGTGGTGATAAGAGCTGTATAAGTACCTAGATAGTATCCTGTGTCTCTGAAAGGGTTGTCTACATACAAATTTTTATGTAATCTGAATTGGCTTCCTAAAACCAAATTGGTTATTTTGGTGCAACTCTGTTTAGATGGGTTTCAGAGTAGCAGCCATGTTAGTCTGTATTCGCAAAAAGAAAAGGCGTACTTGTGGCACCTTAGAGACTAACAAATTTATTTGAGCATAAGATTTCGTGAGCTACAGCTCACTTCATCAGATGAAACTTATTTGTTAGTCAAATAACAAATTTATTTGTTAGTCTCTAAGGTGCCACAAGTACGCCTTTTCTTTCTGTTTAGATGCTCTCCTTTGTTTGAAACCCATGAGTGTCAAACCACAAAACTGCACTAACTGCTTTAACTAACCTGGGTTTTAAATTGTGCAGGTAGGTAAAGGTAAACTGTGTAGCCAGGCCTAAAGAAAGGCGCTGAGCCTAACTGAATTGTGTATACAAAGCAGTATGCCGCCTTAGCAAATCTCCACTTAGAAAGTGCTGTCCCCTCTCCTTAGGACATACTCTGGCTATTAGGACTCAGCTCCATGTGGTCCTGTTGAGTGATGGTTCATGGTGAAGAGGGCACATTTTGTAATCCCATCTTCATTTCACCAAAGGCCTCCACCTTCACTGAGCCAGAGGTAGGAAACAGGCTGCACTGGCTACCCTAAATACTGTGCTCTCTTAAGGGCCATTGTCACATTAAGTTCTTCTGACAAAAACCTCAGATTATTTAAAGTGAAAAGCGTTTTTGTGTGTGTGTGTGTGTGTGTGTGTGTTGTTTTTTAAATCTATTTGCCATCTATACTGTTACACTTGTAGTTTGGGAGGGGAAGTGAACTTTCAAAGTGAGAACGGCACTTGAGTCCACTCTAAGATGATGCATGGGAAAACTTAGTGGCGCCCCCCCCCCCCTTTTTTTTTTTTTTAAGCACTAGATGAGATGTTTCCTAAACTCCAGAATAGTGATCCTGTGGGCTAGAGCTAGCTACATGCATGATGCTGGCTTCCTATTTTCAGCTACAAAGCTACCTTAAGATAGGTAAAACATACTCATTATTTCCCATATAAGCAGTTGCTGTGGTTGACCTGGGTGTTATGCAGTTGATTCTGAGTGGGATGGGAGGTGTTCATGAATGGGTGAGCTAGCCAGCAGTCCAAGACTACTACCTCTGTCTTAAAATTAGGGCTGATCAAAATCTTTCAGTCAACTTCTTTTGACAGAAAACTGGGTTTTTAACTAAAGAAACACTTCTGTGAAAAGGATCTGGTTCTCCCTACTTATTTTCTTATTAGACAACCAATAATTTTTGTTTGGGGGGGGAAACTGGAGTGTTGGTTATTGATGAAAAGTCAATTTTCTACATAAATTTCTGATCCGCTATAATTACAAAATGGTCCACAGTATAGACAAGCTTGCAGATACCTATTCTGGAAAGTCAGAAGTCTGAAATTGTGCACTAGATTTCTCATATCACTGATTCTGAAAATGTGGACTTCTAGTCACTTCATCACCATTTGGTAACACCATGTACAACACTGCAAATCCATTCTAATTGCTTGTTGAATCTTCAGTTGTAGAATGGAAGAGGAATTGGCTGCTCCCTCCACTTCTGCAGACAAAACTGATAGGTAAGGGATTTGTGAGTTAGCAGGCTAAGTTGGCAAACAAAAAAAAATAGGGTAATAGTGGATCTTATTTCAAATTAATATTTAAATCTGACATTGTGCTTTGCTCTAGATATTAAAGGCTATAGATGTCTCATGTTGCCATACAAGAAACCACAGTTTAGGAATACTCTTCTGCTCCCCCTCTCTGGGCTAACACCAGTTAAGTCCTTATTCCAGAAAAACACTGCATTAACAGCCTGTGATTCCTTCCGCTGGTAGCTGTAGCACAAAAGTTTGCTTTAGGCATGGCTGCATGACAAATGTGTGGGGGTTTTTTAATGGGTGGTAATAGGCCAACGTTCCACTTTTATGCAGCTGAGCTTCCTGTCTTCATAGATCATAGAATAGAATATCAGGGTTGGAAGGGACCTCAGGAGGTCATCTAGTCCAACCCCCTGCCCAAAGCAGGACCAATCGCCAATTTTTGGCCCAGATCCCTAAATGACCCCCTCAAGGATTGAACTCGCAACCCTGGGTTTAGCAGGCCAATGCCCAAACCACTGAACTGTCCCCTTCTTTCTGCAGGACTTTATACAGTTTTCTCTGTCACCTTTTCAATATAAACTCTTCTCATGTTGAAGTGTTGTATACAAGCCTCTGACTTAGCTGAAGACTGAAAGTTGGCTATTAAGCAGTCTTTCTGGGATCTGCTTCTTGCAGTTAATGGTTAAATTTATTTTAATGTGAGAAATGGAAAAATCTTTGTCCCCTTAGTGCTGGTGCAGATGAAAGTTCTCTAACCGTAACTGAATAATCATGGGGGGGGGGAGGCTCGCTATTTAGTGCTTCTACACACGTTGCTGGTTGGTGTTTGAGTCTTGGTGGGAAGAGTTTGAAGGCTGGATTTAAAGAGTCTGGGAAATGAAATTGTGTGAACAGCAGGAGGCTACAAACCTCCCTCCAGTTTGTACACTTGGAGATGCTCTCCCAACTGTACAGTGTCTAACTCAGCCCGTGTTCTGTAACTTTACAGTATGGATGTGGATGGAGAAGCCAAAAAACTGCTGGGCTTAGGGCAGAAACACTTGGTATTGGGAAATATTCCGGCAGCTGTTAATGCATTCCAGGAGGCTGCTAGTATATTGTAAGTAACTGAACACATTGCTTTTTACTTGGATTCTTGTTTTGGGTACATCACTGAAGTGAATCAAGCTGAAATGTAGATACTCATCTCAGGCCTAGACAAGCTGTCTTTATAGGTTTCAGAGTAACAGCCGTGTTAGTCTGTATTCGCAAAAAGAAAAGGAGTACTTGTGGCACCTTAGAGACTAACCAATTTATTTGAGCATGGTTAGTCTCTAAGGTGCCACAAGTACTCCTTTTCTTTTTGTCTTTATAGGTAGTCTGCAAGTATCTGAATATAATTACCAGGAAAATTGAGGATTGTACCATGTCTATGTAGATTTCTTTTGAAATAATACATTTGTGCTGCTTAGACACTTAACTATTGGAGTAGTGGCCTACAGTGCCTCAGAAATCAACATCTCAAGAAACCAAACCAGCCCATATATTGCAAAATAAAGAGTGTTCTGCAATGCAGATCTCATAAGTCTAACCACTAGAGAAACATAATCTATAAATTGCAAGCAAAGCAGAGGCAAATTGCTTAGCCTCTCGAGGAAAAGAGCATTTAGAACAGAGGACAGTCTTGAAAACCCACTGTTGGGTGCTCTGAGCAACCAGAACTTTCAGTAAAAACTATTCCAGTTATCAGAAGGGAGAGAACTCAGAAGGGAGAGAACTGACATTTGCCTAAGGGTGGCGGTCACGTGGGAGGTAACCGCTTGGAAATTGACTTTCCCACCCCGAAAAGATTTAAATGTTGTGTATCTGGTAATGTAAAGCTATTTCAAAACATGGTGCAAATAAGATGTACTAACTTGTATTTTTCTTTGTAGGGGTAAAAAGTATGGTGAGACAGCTGATGAATGTGCAGAAGCTTTTTTTTACTATGGAAAATCTCTCCTGGAGTTAGCAAGGTATACTAACAAAGACCCTCTAGCTGGCTTGTCAGTCCTCTGAATACCTAGTATCCCTCTTCCTAGATTTTGACAGTTTAAGATGATATTTTAATTTCTTTATAAAAGGATACAAGTGGCGGAGTACTTTGATAGAAGCAACTAAAAATGTTAGTTTGGAGCCTTTGGGATGAAACAACAGTTAAATGTAATTGCCTCTCTTTAAAAATAAAAATTTAAATGGGGTAGCTGTACCTTACAAGTGGGGAATGGGTATTAGAATAAGGGGGTAGGTCATTGATAGAACACTTGAACTCAAGGAAAAATAGGAGAAATATATGGAGGACAGGGCAGGCAAAAGGGAACTGTTCTTACCTAGATCACTAGCAAAAGTCTAACTGGAGTTATAGGGCATCAGTCCATCTATCTGAAATATTTTTAGAGCATCATCGCCGTGTTCTCTTGCCACACAAGTATGGCATGATGCTCAGTATCTACTGAAATCAAGAGTCTGGCCTGGAATAGGAGGCTTTTGCAGGCTAGAACGGGTATAGTAGAAGACCTGTAGGTGGGAGAGGTGCTAGGTAGAACAGTCAAATGGTATGTTCCTTTGAGCACAAAATGTATTCCTTGGTGCTTGTGTGCAGCTGACTTGCTTCTATTTTTCTAGAATGGAGAATGGTGTATTGGGAAATGCCTTGGAAGGAGTGCAAGTGGAAGAAGAAGAAGGCGAAAAAGCAGAAGATGACTCAATGGTAGAAAATGCTGATAACATAGATGGTATGTAGAGTTGTCTAACATGCCATAGAGATGCCAAGCTGTATTGCCTTGTGTAAATATTGGACCTGGATTCTTTACTTTGCTTCCCTAGATGATCTGAAACTTTGTACCAAAACTTTTAGCAGGTGGAAGAATCTTGTTCTATAAATTTCCCAAACCTAGCTAAAAGATTTTTATTTTGCAAGAAACTCTTCGTTCACACTAGCTTTGAGTCAAGGGGTCACAAAATTTGTCAATTGTGAAGCATTACACTCAAACTTCCTTTCCTGTTCTAAGCTTTCCAGCCAGCTAGGACTGCTTTGTGCACTTGCAGCAGTACAGTGGCATGTGGTATCATTCGCTTAAAGTTGGTCATAAGGGAAGAATTTATTTTGGGTCAGACTCGCCAAACTGTCCTCACTTTAAAAGTTCAAGGGCAGTTTTCATTCTATCATACATTGCAGAGGATTATTGCACAAGGAGTTTTTATCCATCTAGACAAATGGATTTAACTTGGCATCTCTTGCTCAGCTGTGACTAAAAATGCTAATGCATAAAACTGTATATTGCTTGAGTGGTCACTTACAAGATTGTAGGATCTCCCAGAGTTTGTTGCTTGGGACCCAGCTTCTTTAGATTTCAAAAGGAATTGAGTTTAGGAACATGTGCTACACACACACACGTTGGAGGGTCTGAGGGTGGTATTTTCAATTTCCATTAATGCTTTTATCACTAAACTCGAAGAAATGTTTATGCTTCATCTTCCTTAACTATGTAGAAGAAGCAAGGGAGGAGTTGAGAGAGCAGGTATATAACGCCATGGGGGAAAAGGAAGAATCCAAAAAATCTGCAGAAGAGTCTCCAGTACTGAATGAAGCTGGGAAGGAAACAGAAGGAGAGGATGTGGAGATGGGAGGTAAAACAAGAGAAGAGGAAGCAATTGCTGACGTAGAGACGAAGCTTAAAGAGAAGGCAGAAGAGCAGGTAGAGGCAGATATTCAGGAGAAGACAGTGGCAGGAGAGCAGGTGGCAGAAGCCACAGAAGAGCGGGTAGAGGCAGCTATGGAAGAGGAGGCAGTGGCAGAAGCCACAGAAGAGCAGGTAGAGGCAGCCACGGAAGAGGAGGCAGTGGCAGAAGCCAAGGTAGAGTCAGCTACAGAAGAGAAGGCAGTGGCAGAAGCCACGGAAGAGCGGGTAGAGGCAGCCACGGAAGAGGAGGCTGTGGCAGAAGCCAAGGTAGAGGCAGCCACGGAAGAGGAGGCTGTGGCAGAAGCCAAGGTAGAGGCAGCCACGGAAGAGGAGGCTGTGGCAGAAGCCAAGGTAGAGGCAGCCACGGAAGAGGAGGCTGTGGCAGAAGCCAAGGTAGAGGTAGCCACGGAAGAGCGGGTAGAGGCAGCGGCAGAAGCCACGGAAGAGCGGGTAGAGGCAGCGGCAGAAGCCACGGAAGAGCGGGTAGAGGCAGCCACGGAAGAGCGGGTAGAGGTAGCTATGGAAGAGGAGGCCGTGGCAGAAGCCACAGAAGAGCAGGTAGAGGAAGCCACGGAAGAGGAGGCAGTGGCAGAAGCCAAGGCAGAGGCAGCTACAGAAAAGAAGGCAGTGGCAGAAGCCACGGAAGAGCAGGTAGAGGCAGCCACAGAAGAGGAGGCAGTGGCAGAAGCCATGGAAGAGAAGCTAAACAAGTCAAAAGAGGCACTGGCCTCAAAAGAAACATTGTTTGCAGCTGGAAATGCCACCACACCTGCAGAGGGCAAAGAGCCAGCTAATGAAATAGAAACTGAAGAAAAAGTTGAAGTAGCTGTTAAGGTAGAGAAAGAGAGAGATGACCTGATGGAAGAGGGAGATGGTGCTAAGGTAGAAAAAGAAGAGGAGAAAGATGACCTGATGGAAGAGGGTGAAGGTAACAGGGATAGGAGAAGTACTTGTGGGTGGATTACTTGATGGATTTGACTTGCTAACCAGGGGTTAAAAGTTACGTTTCCATTCAGAATTTTCTGTTTGCCATAGACTAATGGAAGGTCTCAAACAAGGGGCACTTGGATATTAAAATCCTCCAAGTAACTGGCTTCAGTTAAGTTTCAAGGAGCAGTGAATAGTTTTAGTTTCTGTCTAATGCTTAACTAACTGCAAAGCAAAATCTTTATGTGGATATCATTTTGGGGGCTGTGGCTAGCTTCAGTGGTAATGTTTGGAAAGCATTAACTAGGCTGGTAGAGAATACTGAATGGATGTCCACTTGCATGTATCTGGGTTTATTGCACTAACCTTCAAATAATTTGAACCACAAGTTGCCTCTGGTCCTAATCTCCCATTCTAGACAGTGGGGCAGTAAAGTAGAATCCACTGAATTGATACATATAATAGCACGTCTCCTTGTTATGAGAATTTGAACTCTTCTGTGGAATCTCAGTGACTAAAGAATGAACTTCATTGTGAAACTTAAATTTAATATGATAGGCTTTAAAATTCCATTGTAAATTGGTGCTAGCTAATACAAGCTTCTTCCTAAGTAGCTTTTCATGTTGTTCTGCTTCATTTAATAGCTGCTTAACTGTCCTAACAAACCAGAAAACAAACTCCATATGCTTTCCAAAATAACATACACTTAGACTTTAAGAGGCTATAAATCATCACATAGTATCTTGATTTTCCAACAATCGGAATGACTGCATGCTTGTACCAGTTGAGCTATTCACAGCCTCATTTAATAGTGATCGAATATCCATGCAGTCTCTTAATTTCCTTAGCAACCTCTGGACAATACTAAAGGCATTTCTCATGTTGAACATCACAATGGAACTGTCTGTACCAATCACAAAGAATGTAATGTAGCTACACTGTAAAGCAGTGGCTCTCAACCCTTCCAGACTATTGTATGCCTTTTTGCAGTCTGATTAGAATATAAATATTCTACTTACGTTTCAATGTATAGTATATAGAGCAATATAAACAACTCATAGTCTCTATGCAATTTTAGTTTGTACTCACTTTGCTAGTGCTTTTTACATTGCCTGTCATAAAACTAGGCAAATATCAAGATGAGTTGATGTACCCCTTGACCTCTACATACCCCTAGGGGCATGTGTACCCTGGCTGAGAACCACTGGTGTAAAGTATCTTCAATTACCATACATTGTGCAGGTAGACCCTTGTATTCTTTCTCTTGCCTCACTCAGTCTGTACCCACAAGAAAAATAGTTCTTAACTCTTGTTTCCCAGATGATAAGAAAAAAAGCCCACTGATGTCCATTTATTAACTTTGGAAGTGCTTATTTGACAACCACATCGTGGTCTAATAAATGTCTTGTCCTCCAGCCTCAAGTGTTGGTCACGTTTGCAGAGGTAAATTATCTAAAAGTCTCTTATTAGGAAGCTAAACACCTAGTATCTTTATTCTCACTCTAATCAATTACATCTCATACATAGAAACTTGGTCTGTTTTTGCAGCAGGTATGCCATTGCCAATGTGGCTGTTGAATCTGGCTCTAGTTATGGCAGTTACCACTGTTGACCTCCCACACCTATGTTCTTTTTGTCAAAAGTAACTGGCTTCCTCAAGAAAAGTAAAATTTGACCAGCTCACAGGCTGGTTCCAGCTTCCAAACAAAACAGAACCTTCTTTTTCCAGATATATTTTGTATTTGCCACGCTGGCATAGGATACCAATCCTGGTGTATAGCAAGCTTTCCCATCCACTTCCCTTATGTATCAGATGGCTTGTGCCCAAAAGTAAATGCTGGCCGCCATCCCCCCCTCCCACTTCCCCAGGTTCCCTCCCCCCCGCCCCGATTCCCATTGCTAGGATTAATTATGTAACTCTACATTTAAAGCACTTTGCTGCCCCATAAATTCACAAGCTGAACTGGCACTGCAAAATAGCAAGTTGTCTGAATTCATAAGCAGTTTGCATTTGAGTTTTAGACACAGCTACCACACATCGGGTGAGAAATACTATCTTGCTGAAAACATTTGTGACTTGTAGGATGACATACCAGTCATTGGGTGACTGTTTATAACTCCATTGACTTCACTGGGAGCTCCCATGGAATACATCCGAATAGCCCTAAATAAACCCTATACATAGGAATAGCCCTAAATAAACTTCCATTCTAGGCAGCACTAAGTCAGAAAATTTAATGTTAAACTGCTACTGTAGAACTAGAGTAACTAATGTTTTGAGCACGGTGGGTAGTGCAAAGGCTGCAATGTCACTTTGACTGTTCCAAAGTTGCACATAATACTCATCACGAGAAAGAGGGGGATGCTTACCTCTAAACAATTGAACCAAGCAAAATAGATGGTTTAACAGTGTATTGCAAATATCATTATTCTCCTCCACAAACTTTCCTTGCAGAAACAGAAGGATCAGATGAGGAAGATAAAGAAAATGACAAAACTGAAGATAATAAAGAAAATGACTCGACTGTTGAAGATAAGGTGAGCTCTTTTGACTTGGAGGATGATGTGTTCTTCCAAATGAACTGAGAACTAATGCTTATGGCATTGGTTAGATCCAGGCACAGAAGTGTTCTATTCCTGACCTCAGGTCCTCATCATATTCTGGTAATCCTAAAAGAAAAGGAGTACTTGTGGCACCTTAGAGACTAACACATTTATTTGAGCATAAGCACCTTTGCAGACACTTCACAGTGAAACTATTACAATAGGTATATTTCTGGTAGTCTTGGGTATCAAACTATCCTCACTCATGAGCTAATGCCCCCAAGGTTATGGTATTACACTTGACCTACTTTGCCTTCTCAGTCCTTGCCTGACTAATACATTTGTGAAGTGTGTCTGTGCTGTTACGCGTTTTTCTCTGGACCAGTAACTGCACTCTGGCAGCCAGTGCAGATACAGATTGTACCAGACTGCAGCAGTCTCACAATGACCATACTTCAGCATCACTATTCGCGATACACAGCTTGTAACACCCATCTGATTCTTCACTAAAGGATTATATCCCCCTCTTTACCGCCACACCTTAATGATTTGAGGTAAAGTGGATTTGACAGGGGTGGGAAGGAAGGAAGTAGTTCTAGCGGCTCTCCTGCATGCCAGTGCAGGGATTGCATAATTTGGATTTTAACTATGGTGCTGTAGCAATTCAGCACCCCTATGCCCTGACTTAAAGGACTTGCTTAACATGGGGTTTCTCAACCCATGGGTTGAAACGCAAAATTTGGGTCACCAGAATGTGTCAGTGTCACAGAACTGTCTGGGCTCAACTCTCCACAATAGGTGTCGTGATCTGGTGCACTGGGTTCCAGCATCACTCAAGTTTGGCCCCTCTCTCACAGTGATACGGTCAGACCAAACCTGAGCAAAGTCGTGACGGCCTAGAGTGGGGAGCAGAGCCCAATCAGTGCAACAGGACACAAGCTGAGAGGGAATGATTGGTGTCATGTTCTCCAGTAATACTGTCTGCCCCTGGGTGTGTGTATGTGTGCACTTTTTTTTTTTTTTTTTTTGGAGAGTTATTGGCTCACCATACCTCTGCCCTCCAGTTCCTTCTTCAGACCCCCTAAGTCCTTCACTGAACCCCTAGGCCCCCTGATCTCCCACTTATCTCTGGGCCTCGTGGGCCATGTTTTGGCAGAGATGTCTTGGCTTGCTTTACCCTCCCTCCCCAGTTGGTGGGGTTTTTTGCCTGTTCACATCTGGCCAGAGCATCTGGAATCTTAGCTCTGAGCCCCCTGCCAGATGGAACCCTGTGGGGCCAGTGTGTGGTCTGGGGGCATCTTAGTGGTGTCTCTGGGTTGTGACAGGCCATCAGGGTTGACAAATGGCTCCTGACCCAAAAAGGTTGAGATCCTCTGGTTTAACATACACCATGTTTTAGCAGACCACTACACAACTGCATTAAATAGAATTTCTTTACCCCATTGTGTTGGTGTTGCCATTTGGGTGTAATGGATTACCTTGCTTGAACAATCTTTATTGAGATTTCGCTTTAGCTCCTTTATCTTCTAATTCCTGGTCCTCTTACTAGTAGTATCTTAAAATTAAATTGTTCCAAGGTAATGTTGGCAGAGGTTTTCAGTAGTATTCAAATGACTGTAAATAAACTGAAGATGTGAGATGTAGTCTTAAACAGAACCTGAAATCAAGAACTCAATCTTGAGTCTCAACTAACTTGAAAATAGACTACTTTATCATCTTGAGACAGTGACAAACGAAACCACTTACTATGGCTTTGAACTTTAAATTCATGATGAGCACCTTTGCTACATTGTTACACATTGCTTCACTGAGACAAGTCTTCATTTTTAAAATAAAATTAGAATATAATTCTAGTCTTTTCAGGAAAGTGAAGAGGATGAAGTTGGAAATCTGGAGCTGGCTTGGGATATGCTGGAGTTGGCAAAAGTAATCTATAAAAGGTAAAACTTTACACGTCTTGATTTGAGTCGGTTAAAAAATAAAGGAACTTACAGGAAACCACTGGGGAGTTGGCATAATAGAGGTGCACTAGATAAAGAGGTGGAAGCCTCTGATCAGGGTTTTTATAGCAAACTAACTAAAGTTTTCTTGATTTAGACAGGAAACAAAAGAAGCTCAGCTCCATGCTGCTCAGGCTCACCTGAAACTAGGAGAAGTTAGCATTGAATCTGGTAAACTATCTGTCTGAAATCCGATTGTACATAAAGTGCTGCAGTATTAAACTGGCTTAACTTCTTGCTAACTTTCACCCCATCTCACCCACCACATAGTTATTTAAAACAGTCAGAGGTGATTCAGATTGCTGGAGAGAGAAGATAAACTTCAGACCACATGGGGGAAGTGCCCAGAAGTTTGAATAGTCTTGGGACAGATAAGGGAATAAGCCAATTACCTGCCAACTAAATTCTTGAGCAAAGTGGGGGAAGGCCATGTTGAGCCTCAGTTTGCTTTCATTGCTGGAATAGGAATAGCAGTGGCTTGGAAATAGGCTTGTACACTATAGCTGCTCTTGAATGTGGCTCAAGAAACTCTAGGAAATGGAGAACTTTTTCACCTTCAGTAGTAGGCCAGAAGCCCCACACACCAAACTGCTGTCAGAATGAGATGGGGGGAAGAATACAAATTGAGAGGATGTTGGGTTCTAGAAATGGGCAGACTCCCTAAAACACTCAAGTTGGCTTCTTGTTGTTCTTGAATGCAGTTGCTTAATCCTGAGACTTTTGCCTCATCTTGAAGTCTGCCTCTCCTCTTGAAACAATGTAGTTCTTTATCCTCTTTGCCCCTGTTGTCTGTTTGACTAGAAAGTGGTTTCAGACTGAATTCATCTGGGAAGGTTCTGTGGGTTAGGACTGCAAAATTAGGGTTGAGCATATGCCACCTCTATAATATCAATGGGGGAATTGCAGTTTGAGGGTGGAATTACCCTTGAGCAGCTTTATTTCTTAATGTTAAAATTATTTATTTATAATTTATTTCTTAAATGCACTCTTGGCCAATTGTCTATCAATGGTATGTAAAATAATTAGAGTGATATAATTTAGATAGAGTAAGAAACTGAACACCAATACCTAGTCTGCTTTTGTCTCACTTTCCCTGCTTCACCTGTATGGAAAACACTTTAAAAGTAACTGTCTAAATCACTGCTGAAATGTGGGGAGAGGATTGGGCAGGAAGTAAACACTAACTCCAGCTGAGTGTCCCTTTAATTGTTAGCATCACTCAGTGAGGCAACTTCTTTCAGCTCATGCAGAATCTGAGAGCAGTCTATGGAATAAATTAGATGGGGAGACAGACTGGTAACTTTGTTTGTTTGGCTTGATACTTATTAGTTGTATTTGTGAAGGTTTATGGCTTTTCTGTTGTAGAAAACTATGCACAAGCTATAGAAGAGTTTCAGGCGTGCCTCGCCTTACAGCAGAAGTACCTAGAGGCCCACGACCGCCTGCTAGCAGAGTCGCATTACCAGCTGGCACTGGCATACCACTACAACAGCCAGTTCGACGACGCAATTCTGCAGTTCCGTAAATCAGTAGAAGTCATTGACAAAAGAATGGGTAAGTAGACTTGCTAAAATTCTAGCTCAGTGGTTCTCAAACCATTGTATTCGTGAGCCCTTTCACATCGCAAGCCTCTAAGTGTGACCCCCCCCCCTTATAAATTAAAAACACTTGTTTATATATTTAACACCATTATAAATGCTGGAGGCAAAGCGGGGTTTGGGATGGAGGTTGACAGCTTGTAAAACCACCCCCCCCCCCCCCCCCAGTAATAACCTCATGACCCCCTAAGGGGTCCTGACCACTGTTTGAGAACCCCTGCTCTCGCTAGCAAACTGGTTAACTGTCATAGGAAAGCTGGATTGAGCTGAGGTTAGTAACATGGAAGCACACTACTCTCCACAGTTCTCTGAATGGTCTCTAATGAAGGCAGGGTAGCTCAGGTGCCCTTGCCTGTTGCACTGTTGGTTTAATAAACTGCTGACAACTTAAACCTGTATTCCTCTAGTGATGCTGACTGAACGAATAAAGAAAGCAGAAGGAGGATCCACTGAAGATGAGAAGGAGATCGAAGAATTAAACGGACTACTTCCTGAAATTAAGGAAAAGATAGAGGATTCAAAGGAGTCTCAAAAGAGTGCAAGAGTAGCTGAACTGGCTTTGAAAGCAACTCTGGTTAGCTTTTAGTTTAATTACTTTTCTAGTAAGTTGCCATTAACTAATGGTATAGCTGAAGGAGAGCAGAAGAGCCCACAACAGCAGGGTTGGTTGTACTGGTCTAGAATTAGTGATTGTCTGAAAATGACTTACCTTCCCATGACCAGAAACTGTTAAATCACTCAGAATGAAATATGGCTGACTTCCCTTTGACTTTGAGGGGGGAAAGCATTGGACTATCACATGTTGCCACTTTGCTTTTCCCTCTTGATTAAGCTACCTCTTATTGGACAATCAGCTGGCTCTCAACAAAGAGGCTAGAGGAGACAGTGACATCACATGCCAGCTGTTTAGCACTAAACCAGAAGGGCAATGCTTTTTGGCAAGGGTTTGGGTTTGGGTTTTTTGGGCCAGATGGCAGTAGACTAGAACTGGGTTACAAATACAGCCTAGTTTGAGAATCCTAAATTTGGTTTAAATCTGGTTCAGCATCTGGTGGTGGCATATATCCTGAATAGTTGTATAGCGTAGCCAACCTTTCTGAAGGTGCTTCTACACTGAAGACCTTTCTAAGGCAGGGGAACAATTAAGTTCTGCCTGTCTAACTGATAGGCAACCTGTTTGCTCACTCACTGTGAAATATCAATTTGTTGGGTTGGTATAAACGTCTACAAACTGGGTGCTTGGTACAAGAAACAAAATAACCACAACTGAGGATTAAGTACTTCATAATTTTACAGTCAGAATTGATTTGGTTAACGTAGATATAATAAATCACATCAGAGAGAAACTAAACAAACCTATTAAACCCTAACTTAATTCATGGTATAGCAGGAACCATGGATTTGTGCGGTAAAGTCCCGGCATGCTGTGGAGCTCAGAAATACAACTGGAAGCCAGTACTTGGTTAATCACTATGGCTTCTTTCATTTTAGGTTGGAGGTGCTACCTCCAGTTTTACACAGAGTGAAGAAAGCTGTTCCGTTTCCACAGTAAGTGAAACAACTCTGAGTTCAGGCAGACATTTAAGTACTACTAAATTGGAAGGTTTTAATGTTTGATGTCACTTACATTACAACCTCTATCTTGTAATAGATTCCAGTAAGAAAGCCAGCTGATGGAGCATCCCAGTGCGTTACAGACATCTCTCATCTTGTCAGAAAAAAGGTGTGTCCAGATATATAGCTATTTGGACAAACTAATATAAAACTACCACTGGCTTGCACTGTATCTCATTTGATTTCTTGGCTAAACAAAGCCTTTGACAATCACTGTTATGCACAGAACAAATTCTAAAAAAAAAAAAAGGAATACTGCATAAAACTCCTTTCCCCTGGGAGCCAATCAGTCTTCCTGGAGAGTAGCTTTTGATGGTTCCTTTGTATGCTTTACCGCACTCTGCTAGATCCACACTAGTTTAACTTCAAAGCTGAATTGTGTGGGTCATGTAGGCACTTCTTAAATAAGTGCTCTACTATGTTGAGGCCCTGCATGAAGGAGCAGGGTCGGCCATAGATAAAGGGCAAACAACCAGGCTGGGTTGGGTTCCCTTATTTCCAAGTGGAAATGGAGCACTGAAGTTAAATAACAAAGTAGCAAAGCCAGTCTAAATGTGTAGTATGCATACTTCTAATAAAATCTGACTTATTGGAGTAACCTTAAGGGAAACTAGTGTTTGGTTGTAGTTTAACGTTAACGGGTGTTCTCATTAGTATTTTCCTAATCTAAACCAAATTTCACAGCACTTTTCATTTGCCTACTGTATGTACTGTTATGACACACCATGGCTATCTGCATTTTGTCACACCAGCATCTTTCAGAGCAAGTTTGAAACATCTGCCCTCAGCTCTGAAGCTTAGATCAGATGTCATGAGTACTAAAAACAGAAATTTAATCTAGAACTAGGATGCTTTTCTGCTAGGTCATAATGAAGGATGGCAAAAATGAAGATAGTATCAGAACTCTTACTGTAACTAAACTCTTATGCCTAAAGCGTCAACTGAATCCTAACTCCTGACTATTTGGTGTGACCCCTCATAACTAAAAGTTGAATAGTTAATGAACAGTGACATCTAGACGCTAATTTTCTTAAGTCTTAAATTTGTACATAGTGAAGACTAAACAATTTTGTCTTCAGAGGAAACCAGAGGAGGAGACTCAACAGGGAGACAATGAAGCTAAGAAATCTAAACCAGAACCGGCTGTCAATGGTGGTGGTGATGCTGCCCCCAGTGGAAATGAGGTTGCAGAAAAAATGGAAGAGGAGGTGGGCAGTTGAGTCAGAATTCTGTGCCATGTATATTTCCTTCTCTGTTCAGGCATACCTTTCATGCCTGGGACATCTAATGCTTTATTACCTTCTGGTTTAAGACTCTTCTATAAGGAGCTGGGGAATTTGCCCAGTTCAGCAGAGTGCATGTTACACACAAGATGTTTAGCCCTTAATCATTTGGAAAATAACTTGGAGTTCAGTGTATTAAATTACAGCTGAGCTAAAACACAGAATTCTCCTTTCTGCTAAAGTATTGGTGTGCAATGGAATAAAGCCTGTTTGATTTTAAGTAAAAGGACACTCAGGCTATGAAACTGTCTATAGAGTAGTGCTTGGTTTCTGTAATTACCGGTGAAATGTAGGTAACCAGTCAATGCAATTCTCCAAGCTATCAATTTATGCACCAACTGGTAAAGCGTTAATTGATGTGGAACATATAAGACTGGCTCTTAACAAAATTCATTCTTCTCTTTCAGACAGAGAAAAGGCCACAAGTGGAATCAGGGGCTGCAGTTGAAAGTACAGTATGATAGGTCTTTAGCATGGACCACTCCTCTCCTCCCAAGGAGAATGGTTTTGTATATAGTGTATTTTTTCACTTTGGCAACTTTTGTATGACTTCAATAAAGATTGTAAGCAAATGTTTCAGATTTTGCCTCAGTAAGGGTGAGTCCTGTTCCTGGTACTAAGCACAACAGTACAGATGAACAATTTCTCATCTCTATAGTATTGTAGATCTTTGTCAACTGAACAAAATGTCCCAAGGACCTTTACCCAGCTACTTGGAGACTGTAATGAAGTAAACGGCATGTCACAGGTGTCTTGCTTGGCTGATTTTAGAAAGTCAACTATCTTCTTCTTGGAGCATTAGATTTGATCTAGAATTAACAGCTGGGCCTGAAATAAGGAGAAAACGGAGACAATAATTCTGTTAACAGTCTGTAGAGTTACAGCTGTCCCTCTAGATAGAGACAAAACATAACATTTAAAAAGGCACAGGATACCTCTAGAGTTGGGTTCTTTACTACAAGAAGGGATTGGAAAAGCAAAACACTTTGATTCTTACTTTACTAAATGGTGAATGAGGCCTTTCTTAGTTGGATGGAAATGCAAATTAACACCATTCTAAAATGGTATTTCTATTATTTAAAGAAGCTTTAACTGTGCATAATATCTAAGGTCTTATCAATTTATATTAAACCAGTTTATTAAATTAAAGGAAGTGTTAGCTGTAATAACCAGAATCAGCTCAATTCATTAATGTCCTCTGAGATCATTCTCATGCATAGACTAAAAGGAGAAAACAAGTTTCCTAGTTTTTCAACTCACTGATTTCTTAACTTTAAATGAACTAACTAGTCACTGAAATGATTCTCTCTGCACTTGAAGAGGCTACTGCTGTCAAAAACTGGTTATTGCACTTCAACAACTTCTGGTTCCGGGAGCTTCTACCAGTTCAGTGGTCTGACTTTCTTTAAAACTTGGCAGCAAATGTGTAGTATATTTTTAATCTAATTTTAAATCCTTGTATCCTGTTGTGAAATATTAGTGGTGCACTTCATATCTTGTCCTCTTTGTGAAAAGCAACCAGATTATAAATTACTCATGGGAACTAAAAGTTGGGGAAACCCCTGGTGCAGATTGAGTGGGTGTGAGAAGAAGGGAGTCTGTCTCCATTCTGCAAGTAAGAGAATGTGATGTTACAAACACAAGTGTAGGTTTAGTTTTGTCAGTTAATAAAACTATAGGGTGAAAAGGACCACAAATTATGTAACTCTACCTCTAGTCTAACCCCCTGCTACGATGTAGGATTTGTCTCAGCCATCTGTCTTGGATAATTATCCAGCATCTTGTTGAAAACCTCCACTGAAGGAGCTTCCACACCTTTCCTAAGGCAGTTTGTTCCATTGTCCTGCTGTTCTTACAACTAGGAAGTTTTTCTTAAGACTTAATCTAAATGTGCTGTGCTGTAGTTTGAACCCACTGCCTCTTGTCCTGCCCTCTGTGGCAAGAGAACAATTTTTCTCCATCTTTATGGCAGCCTTTCAAGTAGTTGAAGATAAATCATGTGCCTCCCCCTTATACCAAACTAAACCTACCCAGTTCCTTCAGCCTTCCCTGATATGGCTTGCATTACATACCTTTGATCATCTTTGTCATTCACCTCAGGTCCTTTCCAGTTTCCCCTACATCCTTTTTGTGCAGCAGTGACCAAAGTTAGACACAGTATTCTAATTGGGGCCTGACCAGGGCTGAATAGAGTGGTACTGTCACTTGTATGCTATGCTTCTCTTAAATCAACCCAAAATTGAAATGCTGGATGTGTGTTTTTCACAAGAGCAGTGCATTGATGACTCAGGTTGGTCTACCATGACTGATTCTTCTTAGCAGTGGTGCTGCCAAGCCAGTTATTCCACATTCAGTGTATCATAGAACTGGAAGGGACCGCAGGAGGTCATCTAGTCCAGTCCTCAGGACTAAGGATTATCTAGACCATGCCTGACACATGTTTGGAGATTTTTAAGAGCAGGTTAGACAATGATGGAGATTCTACAACCTCCCTAGGCAATTTGTTCCAGTGCTTAACCACACCGACAGGAAGTTCTTCCTAATGTCCAACCTAAACCTCCCTTCCTGCAATTTAAGTCCATTACTACTTGTTCTATCCTCACAGGTTAAGAACTTTTTTTTTTCTCCCTCCTCATAACCTTTTGTGTACTTGAAAACTTATGTCCCCTCTGTCTTCTTTTCCAGCTTAAACAAAGCCAATTTTTCCAATCTTCCCTCAATTCATTTTCTAGACCTTTAATAATTTTTATTGCTCTTCTCTGGACTTTCTCCACTTTGTCCATATCTTTCCAGAACTGGACAATACTCCAGTTGAGGCCTAATCAGTGTGGAGTAGAGTGGAAGAATTACTTTGCATGTCTTACTCACAACACTCCTGCTAATACAGCCCAGAATGATGTGTGTGTGTTTTTTTTTTTTTTTGGCAACATTAGCAATCATCTTTGAAAAGTCGTTGAAAACAGGAGAGATTCCAAATGACTGGAAAAGTCTATAAAAAGGGAAATAAGGACAACATGGGGAATTACAGACCAGTCATCTTAACATCTGTACCTAGAAAGATAATGGAGCAAATAATTAAGCAATCAAAGGCCTGGTCTACATGGGGGAGGGTTGGGGGTGAATCTATTTAAGTTATGCAACTTCAGCTACATGAATAACTTAGATTTCTTCCCACCCCTGCCCCCCAACCTAGTGTAGACCAGGCCTTACATGTCTTTGCTGAATGTCATTCTGTTGGCTATACCCTAGTTCTCCAATTTATCAAGCTGCCTTTGAATTTTAGCTCTATCCTCCAAAGAGTTTGTAACCCCCCCAACCACCACCTCTGTCATCTGCAAATGTGAGCTGAACATGGTAAGAGACTGTGCTGATCATTAATAAAAATGTTAACCACCACCAGACGCCCAACAGATTCATGTGGAACCCTACTTGCAACCTGTTTCCAATGTGACATCATTTCAATAGTTACTCTTTGTGTGTGGTTGTTTAACCAATTATGGATCTATTTAATGTAGTTCTACCAAGCCTGCATTTCTCCAGCTTGCTTATGAGAATGGCAGGGGCGTGTGTCAAAAGCCTTGCTGAAGTGCAGGTATATTATGTCCACTACCTTCCCCCTATCCACCAAATCAATTAGATTGTCAAAGAAGGAAATCAAGTTGGTTAATACAGTTAACATAGCTTTCTTACCTCTTGCTGGGTTTCTGCCGTCTGTGGCATTAGATCTGTAACTTTAGCACCACCAGGCTCCTTCTTGTAGAACTCTATGCCTTCCATGGGGAGGTAGGACTGATTGATACCCTGAGGTTAAAAAATAGACGGTTAACACAGTGGGGACTCTTAAAAGATGACTTCAATTGTGCAGTGTTTTTGAACATTTTTGATAGCAGGGACTGGCTTGCTTTCTAAACTCTGTCTGAGAGATCTCATCCACCAGCACTGCTCCAGTGACCGGTTGTTTAGAAACACTGCTCAGGTACATGGAAAACAGTGTCTTCCTGGGGTAGTGATGAGGTACCTATAACCTTGTTAATCTAAGAGTCCCAAACATTCAGTGGTGCTGGATCTCAACAGTACTGTCTTGGAAACTAAGGTACTTCTAGACCAGGTAACTAGAAAACTCTAGCCAGACAGATGTGTATGTATACAACCTCATTAAATTATTTAAATAGGAATGCAAGAAGGTGTTCCCTCCCTTCAAAAGCCTGCTCCCTTTACAGGAAGTCTGACTTTTTTTCTAGGCATTGTCAATCAACTCTTCCCTCCAAAAGCCTACTGATGGGGGGGGCTAGTCAAGTTAAGTACCAAGCATAATACAGCAAGAAATTCTTCCACTTTATACTTTAATTTCACCCTCCATTTAGCTATATAGATACACACACACACACCCCAAAATTCCTCTACCTCCCTATTACTGATAGGAGGGATAATCAGACCTCAAGTGATTTTTAAAGTGATAGTGTGTGAGACAGTAAAAATTGGGTGTTCAGGCTCCCAGGTTATATGCACTTTAGCCACAGTCCTCTTTCCCTCCATTAGGTGAAAGTAGAGGTAATTACCCTTCAAACATTACAGGCCGTGTAGTAAACAAGCTTGTGGACGTTCCCTTCAGTCTATTTTTTTCACTCTGCTATTGACATTCCCTATAGATGTCCTGCAATAACCGGTACTTGTGGCTTTTGTAGCACGTATCTTCCATTGCAGTCAGATATTATGAAGTAGTGGGGTCTATTCCTTCATGTGCATGCCACTGCCATTAGTAGAGGTGAGTTGTGGCTGTCTGCATAGAACCTGCAATGTGAATAACTTGGCTACTAGTGTGGGAACCCACCTGTACTCCCTCTTCAATAAAATCCACAACTCATCCCCTCCCTCAGTGTTCCCAGGCCGGTGCTGATTCTGTAAGCACCGCTCTTCTTGCAGATACTGAGCAATCCGAGCAGTGCTGCTGGACAGTGACGTGTTGTTAGCAGGCCTGTTTTTTAGATAAGACCTAAAATGGGTTTCCTGACCACCTGTGAGCATTAAACATTGCTTGGCACATGCTCCCCGAAGTGGTGGTACCCTGGTTTCCTGGACAAATTTCTACACAAGCAGGGTCTGCCTCCTTATGGTCATTGGTAGTATCAAAGGTGAGGAAACCCTAGGGCCAAGTGCCAGTTCCATTCAAAGGAGGACACCTGCACCCCTCCACTAACAGCATCGCATCACCGTGCTCACCTGTTTGTGGGGCAGGCTAAGTTCTTCATCCCGCCTACCATCTGCTATACGGACAACCACAGATGCCCCTCTTACCAACTGAATCTGTGAGATGGAGAACACCTGTCAGCCTGGTGTTTGGGGATAACTGAAGAGCACCCACAATTGGAGTCAGATTTTTAAAACACACAAAAAAAACCCTTAGCTGATCTCGCTGTGACACTGACGAGGGGAATGACTTGGCCTGGTTATGGATTCTGCACTGTCAAAAATCTTCTCTTTGCACTCCTGATAGTTACAAGCGCTGCACTATGTTGACCTGGACAGACATAGTGGCCTAATACTTTAGGCTCTGCACCAAAGCAGTTGCACCCAGGGAAATCCATTTTGATTTGCTAAAGGAGGTTACGACACTTGTGCAAAGTAGGTATAAAATGTCACTAAATCAGCACTCTCTTGGCAGCCCCCGAACAGCATTTTACACAGCTGTGAGTGACATGAAGTGGAAGGCAGTGCAGGGCTCCATCAAAGTTCTGGCATGGGACTCCTGGCACGGCTGCATATTATGCAGGAATTTAAGAAGGATGTCTATGCTCAACTCATTGGTACCTCCTAAAGTGCCCCACCAGACTTTTTGTACGTAATTAGTCCCGTTCGGAGACGGCGTTTCTCTATAGATATAAGGCATAAAAAGCATTCAAATTTAGGACAAGCCTAGAAGCATTTGGCCCAAGGCGGATGTGTATCTGTGTTGTACTTGCAAACAGACTGGTGCATCAATAGACATCAGATCAGAATAAAGTTCAGTGTTGGAGGAAAGATTAAAGGGAAACAGCTTCTGACCTACAGAAGAAATACTTTTTTTTTTTTTTTTTTTTTACACTTTGCCAAGTGGGGCTAAACAGCATACTACACTAAAATCACTTGGGAGGGCGAGTGGAGGGAGGCCCTTGATTCCTCCAAGATCATGAGCAGTTTGACAATAATACTCATGTTTCAGGGTAAGGGCTCTGCAGGATGGGTAAGGTAACATTTAGTCTTGATGATTTCACTTCAGAGAGCTAAAGATGAGTTTTCTACTTGCCTGCACTACAAAATTCAACCTCGAGCTGAGCACAGACGGGTCTGTCGTGCCTGTCCAGCGGGGAACAGTCCTATTGTGCGGCTGGCACGCACAGGACAGTGCTGAGGCCTGGAGCAGAAAAGAAGCCACCTGGCTCATGCCGAGCTCCATTAGCTCTGCAGGACCAACACGATTTTTACTCCTCTAAGGCCCTAATTCTGACCCTATTGACATCAAGGGGAATTTGACCATGCAGTGTGGCGGGTCAGGAGGGGTCATTTTTCATCGAAGCCTTAACACTGGAGACTCCTCTCGCTATTACACAGTGATTAAAAACACAGTGCACAGGCGTGGCATGATTTACTCACCACTTTCCTGTTTGCCAGCCCCTGTGTAACGCTGGCGCACGGCCCCTGGGATAAGGCGGTCACAATGTTCTGTTGGAACATGAGCAACACCCACACTTAGCTGAAGAACTAGTAGTCTGCGCACACAGCTGCAACTGCCTCCCCCCCCCCCCCCCATCATTTTCCCCAGTGGTGGCACAAGAGGAGTCCAGTGGGCAGGGAGCAGCCAAAGATGGGACCTTTGGCCAGAGAACTTCTGAGATGGGACTTTCTCTGCCCTGTGCTGATCGGCTGTTTCACCTCAATGTCACACCCCCATGTGCCCCATCTGCCCTGTCCCCTTCACTTAACGTCACGTCTCTTTCCACTTAGCTGATCTCCTCCTAATTAACCCCTGCCCCCTCACTCCAAAACCCCGTGGCACTAACATACCCTTTGTTGCCATCACCCTGTTCACTCGGCATGTGTTACACCCCTTCCCCGTGTCAGCTACTAGGGTATGTCGACACCGGGATAAAAATCCACAGCCGGCCCAGGTCAGCTGGCCTGAAAAATTGCTGTCTAGACCTTTGGGCTCAGGCTGGTGCCTGAGCTTTGGGGCCCTGTGAGGCAGGGACCCTGCCAGCTGTGGGTTTATCATCCCTGTGTAGATGTATCCTTAGAGTGTGAGCTCTTCAGGACAGGGACTGTCTGCTGCTTTGTGTCTCTACAATGCCCAGTGGGGTCCCACTCTTGGCTGGTCCTTGGGCACGACTGTAATAAACATGACTAATAATAATCCTTAAAGACTAGGGCACTTGAGCCGATGATGCTGAGTAATAAGGGACCCTGAGCAGCAAGGGAAGAGGAAAGGAACCCTTCTCCCTGTGCAGCACTTGTCATCCCAAAGGTGCTACAGAAAAGCATGAGGGCACATGGGAGAGCTGCATTTGAACGCCAGTGGGTCTCTGATGAGAACTGGTCTGTACCTGGCTGGGAGCCCCCTGGTACAGAGGCAGCTGATAAACATCAGTGTTGCAGTAGCCACTAGAGAACACTTGGAGAGCAGCCCATGCTTCACTCCCCAATGCATAGCGCAGCCTTTCGCCCTCTTTCCTCATGATTCCTCTCTGCACTGGTCTGGGGGCTGCCTTTTTGCGCGGAGTGTCTGGCTCAGGGTTCACCAGGACTTCGTGCAGGTGGATAATCACCGTTAGATACTCATTGTAAATCCTCTGGGGAAAGGACTGGAAGGAAACAAAACATTAGCTGTGGAAAACTAAAAACTGATCAAGAAACTGGAGACCATTTCGTGGGCATAGGGGGAAGCTACCACTTCATTAAAACAAAACACTTCAATGCATAACCTAACGGACCAGTGGCTTGAGCAGCTGGCAGCATGGATTCTGACTCACTATGTGGCTGCTCGGCTTCCGTCTGCCCTATCTGCAAAATCAGGATCCTCTGCCCTTGCTTTGGAGTTCACACCATGCCCCTTGGTCTGACAGGGACCGAGCCTAGTGCCCTTCAAAGCCTGTATCTCCAGGTTCTCTCTGTGAGCAAGGCAGCGTTTTAATGTGGACGCTGGCCCAAGCTATGTTGTAACGTATAGTTAAGATGTTAAGTTGCAGGTGGGCGTAGAGCCTCGCCAGCTGCATTGTATCAGGACAACCAGCAATCTCAGCCGTGGCCAACCTGGGCTCCAGAGCCCCATGCGGCTCTTCAGACGTTAACATGCGGCTCCTTGTACAGGCACCGACTCCGGGGCTGGAGCTACAGGCACCAACTTTCCAATGGGCCGGGGGGCGCTCACTGCCCCACCCCGGCCCTGCCCCAGGCCCTGCCCCCACTGCACCCCTTCCCGCCCCCTCACCTGAGCCTGCCGTGCCCTCGCTCCTCCTCCAGAGCCTCCTGCACACCACGAAACAGAAACAGCTGATCGGGAGGTGCAGCGAGGGAGGTGGAGGTGCTGGGGGTGGGGGGGCTGCTGACATATTACTGGGGCTCTTTGGCAACACTCATTGGTAAATTCTGGCTCCTTCTCAGGCTGGCCACCCCCGAACTATCTCAACCCACCCTATAGGTTCCTAGGTAAATGAGAAGCACCTGCAGAAAGCAATACCTTGAATCCATCCAGCCACACAGGCCACTGCTGGTAGCTGTCAAGGTCAAGCTCCTCCACAAAGACAGGACGATCGTATTTTAGCCAGGGTTTCCCAAAATAAAAGGCCCCAGGGGGATTGAAGCAGAAATGAGCCACTGTCAAACCAGACCAGGGTAGATTCTTGGCACCATCCACTGCAAACTGGAACAACCGTGAGCAAAGAGATCAACAGCCAGGGACATTTGTAATCAAGAGACTGTTTGTGGATGAACTAATACAGCTGCATACCATGACTGGATGGTCAGAACTGCCGCACAAAACCAGGAGTCTGACGGGGGGAAGTGGAAGGGAAACACCCCTCAAGCTGTACCGTCAATTCCGGAACAATTGGATGGTTCCGCTAGAGCAGGGGTGGCCAAACTTTTTGGCCTGAGGGCCACATCGGGGGTGCGAAACGGTAAGGAGGGCCGAGTAGGGAAGGCTGCGTCTCCCCAAACAGTCTGGCCCCTGCCCCCTATCCACCTCCTCCCACTTCCTGCCCCCTGACTGCCCCCCTCAGAACCCCCGACCCATCCAACCACCCTCCCTCCTTGTCCTCTGACTACCCCCTCCCGAGACCCCCGGCCCCCAGGATCCCCACCCCCATCCAACCCCCCCCCTCCCCTGACTGCCCCAACCCCTATCTACACCCCCACCCCCTGAGAGGTCCCCCAGGACCCCACCCCATCCAATCCCCCCCCCTTGTCCCCTGACTACCCCTTCCTGGGACCCCCTTCCCCTTATCTAACCCCGCTCCCCGCCCGCTTACTATGCCGCTCAGAGCGGCAGGTCTGGCAGCCACGCTGCCCAGCCGGAGCCAGCCGCATTGCCCACGTGGTGGCGTAGCTGCGGAGGGGGGGGGGCGACAGCAGGGGAGGGGCCACAGCACGGGTGGGACCGGGGGTGAGCCTTCCCAGCTGGGAGCTCAAGGTCCGGGCAGGACGGTCCCGTGGGCCATAGTTTGCCCACCTCTGTGCTAGAGTGACCAGAAGTGGACTCGTTAAAGACACTGGAATTTTTTTTTGGGGGGGGGCGGGGAGGAGGATAATAAAATCTTAAATTCTCTAGAAAGCAGCGGGGCCCCAGAGCAGGGTGCATGCAGTGCGTGTCTGCGTATCACCCGGGACCAGCTCCGTCCTAGCCCCATGTGGAACCTACACAAAGGCAGCAGGGTGTGGAATGAAACCCTTTGCGGGGATAGTGGTCACACTCTCCCCTGGTGCCAGGAGAACAAGCTCCTCCACGTTCCATTACCTAGGTGGGGCCCAACACCTGTTCTCCGACTGAGAAACACACACGCTCCTTGAATCACCTGCAAAACAATCCTGACCTCAGCACCAACCTCTCTCTTTATAAGCCCAATTCCAATGTCCACTAGGACACGATACATTCATTTAAGGCTATGATATGCAATTGGACCTGCAGCAGAATTCAGGCAGGCAGCATACAACTACCTGAGTTAGAATTTTGGGGTTTACCCCTCTAATCTTGCAAAATTGCCATGGGCTCTTCAACTCCCCCAAGTGATCATCACTCTGGTTTTACATCTTAACCAAAAGACAGGGCTGATCACTTCCAACAGCTCTCACAAGCTAAGCAGCATCAGTTCAGTACTTGGATGGGAGAGTGTGATTCCCTGAGTAGCAGCACTAAATCAATGCACTCGCATGGTGCAGTGTCTACTGACGGACTGGTAGTTTGGCTGCAGGACAAGGAAAATACATGGCCAGTTCCTCAATTTTTCTGATGCTCAAATCCTTCCACTCAGGCAGTAACTGGGAGCGTAGATGGACAACGTGCAACCGTGAAACATTTACTGCTGCCTCGGGTGTTATGTTTTTACGTCACAGCCACAGCAGAACCTCAGAGTTACAAACCGACCCATCAACCCCACTCCTCATTTGAAAACGGGAGTACACAACCAGGCAGCAGCAGAGACAAAAAAGGGCAAATACAGACCAGTGCTGTGTTAAAGGTAAAATACTAAAAAACAAAGGGAAAGTTAAAAAAAAGATTTGACAAGCTAAGGAAACTCTTTCTGTGCTTGTTTAGTTTAAATTTAGTTCAAAGCAGCATTTTCCTTCTGCCTAGTAAAGTTTCAAAGCTGCATTAAGTCAATGTTCAGTTGTAAACTTTTGAAAGAACCAGAACGTTTTGTTCAGAGTTACGAATAACGTCCATTCCCCAAGTGTCCGTAACTCTGAGGTTCTACTGAACTTACTATTGCACCAAATCTGTGGCCAGCTAGGATTTCATGGCAACAACAGAGAGAGAACTCAGACCCTCCTGCTCAAAGACACAGGAAGCTCTCCACTATACATGAGTGGTAGAGGGCCAATGATACACAGTCAAGTATTTCTTATTTCACCCGGAAGAGGACAGGCCCACACACAGGCATTAGCCAGTACGTTTCACTATACCCATCTGCTGTTCACCTTGATACCGTATGTAGGGAGGTATCGAGAGACATAGGTAAGGTTGAAAGGCTGAGGGCTGCTGTCCATCGTCCTGGTCAGTGTCTCTTTGATCCAAGTAGAGATCTCCTCATTTGTATTCAGCTCCAGGCCTTCGTTTCTAGCAAGCTGAGGGGCAATCTCCCGAACCAGCACAGCAGACCTGAGCACGGGGTGGGGGAAGTGAACAGAAAGCCACGACGACGCTGAACAGAGGCACAGCGTCGGGAAAGGCTTGCAGAGAGAAGTGCTCCATCCATCTGAAAGCAACACCCCACACCTCTCACTCAGGCCCAGAGAGACGCACTGGGAGACAGATGCTGCCTGGCTGGAACCATCCATGGGGCTGACAAGAGATGACACCACCCAGTCTGCTGAGACAAGGTCCAAGACTGGAACCGCAGAGGGGGCCGTGGGTCAGGGTGCAGGTCGAGAACAGCAAGTGTGATGCTGAGCAAGAACGAGATCCACCGGGAGAGCTGGGGGGAGAGCGTGTCAGGACTGAAACAACAGAGGGGAGGCTGCGGGTCAGGACGGAGACGTCTCGATGCAGCTGCGTGGGGGGAGCCCAGGGTAGGAGGGGCCGCAGATCAGGATCGAGGGGCGCAGGCAGCCGCCTGTGGGGCACCCTCCTGCATTCGAGCTGGTGGCGCACAATGCTCTGAGCCACTGGCCTGCTGGCACGGCTGAGCCAATGCCCCTGCCGCCCCTGAAAGGACCGGGGCCGTAAATTCACCCACACGATTAAGCCCAAATAAGAAAAGCTCCTTCCTCTCAGGCCCCCAGCACCTGCTCACCTGTTTCCCATGGCGCTGTACAGGCACCTCTCTCCGGTGGTGGGCACGACCGAGTCTGAGTCATAGACCCCGGCTGAATAGTCAGGCCTGGGCTGGAAGAGGCCGAGTTGGGGAATCAGGCTTCTCTGCAGGGTTTGGTGGCTGGAGTCCACGGGAGCTCTGAGCAGCCTGACGAGCAGGCTGGCGCACGGGACGTACCTGTGGGGGGAGGAGCGGCACGGGGTCAGAGCCTGCACAATCCACAGCACGGCGGGGGCCGTTACAGAGCCCGGACACAGAGAAGGAGGGAGTGAGCCGGCTGGGAGCCGGGGGGTTACCGTCCTGCGGAGGTGAGAGCGCCGACAGAGAACGGCTGGTCCGTGGCAGGGCCTGTGTGGTACACGCGAAGCTGGTGGGCACCCTCGTTCAGAGAGACCTAACCAAAGCAAAAGCTGCAGGTCACTTGATTCACACTCCACGGCTAGCCACAGCTTCCCCCTCCGGAGCGGGAGGAACCCACGGCTGCCCCCATCCCTTTCCTGGGCAGACCCTGCAGGGCATGGACTAGCAAAGTGCACTTCCTCCTCAGCGTGTTCCAAGCCTACAGCTGATCTCCAGCCCCTGGCCTGGCCAGCCGAGGTCACTGGGTTCCTGGTTTCAGCAACAATCCAGCTCACCCCGATCCCCCCTCCCTGCCCCACGTCACCCCGCCCCGGAGGACAGGGGAGCTCACCCGGATACCCCCCCACCTCACCCCACCCCAGAGCACGGGGGGAGCTTGCCCAGATCTCCCCCCGCCAGGTCTTGCCCCACCCCAGACCATGGGGGAGCTTGCCTGTAACTCCCCACCACATAGTGTGGGATACTTGCCCAGATCCCCCCGCCCTGCTCTGCCCCAGAGCATGGGGGAGCTCACCCAGATCCCCCCCACCACAGAGTGTGGGCTAGTTGCCTGGATCTCCCCACCCTGCCCTGCCCCAGAGCGCAGAGGGGCTTACCAGATCCCAATGCCCTGTCCCCAAAGCATGGGGGGGCTCACCTGGATCCCCTGGGAATCTGCCCCAGGGGCTCTGTGCGTCCCAGATTCCACAAAGAGATTGAGAGCTGCCCAGCCAATCAGGACAAGCTTGAAACTGAACCGATCCAGAGAGTAGAGCTGTAAGAATCAAAGGCAGCTCGGCGTCAAGTCAGAGCCCCCCAGGGGAGACCCTGCACCTGGACACAGCTGAGCCAGCACCTTGCACTTAACACCTCACAAACTCAGTATGGTCCCGTCACGTGCAGGAGAAGAGCAGCTCCCCTCTCAGAGTGTCTCTCCTCTCCCGCCCCCACGCAGCCACGGCTCGCCATCTCCCCCCCGCGGGCAGGGTCTCCACATGGCTCGCCCTCTCCGTGTCTGTCATCTGCCTGGCTGCTGCACAAACCTTTAGCAAGAGTGCAGCGGAGGGCGGCACTGCTGGATCCCGGATCTGCACGCTATAGTTGTAGAGTGGCTCGAAGATATGGCTGCTCAAATCAAGGCCCGTGGAAATGTCTGGCCCGATTCTGAAAGGAAAAGATGGGGGAGAGACCATAAACCAAAGATCAGTGTCTCCCAGGAGAGAATTTTGGGGCCGTTCCACTGTTCTCCGAGCTCAGGCCGGAGGGTCTTGACATGCTGCACTAGGACCCCTTCAACCCTTGTGTATTCGGGACTGAGATCCATCTCGCACCGGTTAGACAAGCCACCCTGCACCTGCTCAGCGGAGTGGGAGCAGCGTGTCTGTGTGCAAATGCAGGTGTGCATGGCGGAGCTGCGCTGGCATGCCCCATGGGGTCCCCAGAAGTCTCCACCTCATGACCCAGCATTTGCAATGTCAATAACTCACAGTGATGAAGGTACGAGACCCTCATGCTACGCAGAACAGAGGTAAATGTGGATCTGCATGTGCACTAAGGTACACACATTTTCATTACCATTCCTGGCCCGCCTGCACCTCCCCAGGCCCTGGTTCTGATCCAGAGCACATGGCTTGTCATTGCCCTGCTGGACCCAACAGCTCGAGATGACATATTGAGAGAGAAGAGGAAGCCCTGCCCTCCTGGTGGCAGCCCATGAATCGCTCCTCCTTACTGGTTGTAGCTGCTGTCAAAGATCCGGCCAGTGACCCTAGTGATGGTGACGGCATCGGGCAGGAACCGGGCCCCGTCGATGTACAGGTCGAAGCCGTCCGTGGCGATGAAGGGCTCCGAGGTGGGTGTCTCCCTGGTGTGATGGATGAACGCCGCCTGCAAAGACAGCACCAGATCTTATTGCAGAGCCGTGTCGGCAGCCAGCTCGGGTGTGGAGGTGGGTCCCGTTCTTCGGGCCGGGGGTGAGATGGGGCCGTCACAGCCGATTACAAGATCCTGAATCTCGGCAGGGGGTTAGACGAGATGACCCTTCTGGCTCTATGGTTCTGTGAGGACAGGTGGGGACGCTCCGAGCCCAGTGAACCTAACAAGCCCCACATCTCCCGTGCGTGGGCGCAACACAAAGCGAAACCCGGGGCAGCCTCAGGGGGCATTGTAGTAAAGGCTGCACTGGTCCAGCCGGGAGAGGGGGACGCGCAGCCCACTTCACTCCTTCCCTGGGCTGAACTGAGGGGACCCCCAGAGGAGTCAGTCCAGAAGGACGCCCCGCCCAGGGCTGACCATGCCGGCTCCAACGCAGATCCAAGCAGGGCAGCATGTTTCCCTATTATTAGGGCCCACTCCATGAATGCTCTATTCTCAGTGCATCTGCCTACCTCCTGCTATGTGCCATGGGGGTTGCTGATTTTGGGGCTGAAAGCGCCTCTCACTCAGAGCCAAGCCCTTGGGAAAACAGGGAAGCCCAAGCCCAGAGGCGTATCAGAAGGCAGTGGGCTGAAGGCTGCTGGTTGGTTGCTACTTGCTGAGGCCCCAGTGATCTCTCCCGGCTCAGCAGACGGGGGGTGCGGGAGTGACACACACAGAACGTGGGAGTCTCAGAGCAGGTCAGGAGAGCGCCGTCTAATGCGAGGGTACCTCTCCAGCCAGGCCCTGCCCTGCCCTGTCTCCCAGGCCTGGCCCTGCCCTGAACCCCTCTGTGGGCAGGTGAGACCAGCCCTCCTGCTTTGCTTGGAGATCCCAGGACCTGGGGTACTCACCCAGGGCCAGTCCCACGGCTGGCTGAGAGTGACTGGCGACTCGGGTGGGAAAGGCTGGTCCGGTTTCTTGTCGCTGAACACGTGCAGCCTCCCCCTGGCACTGCCGTACGGCGGGAAGCCCTGGGGCTGCCGCTCCTCAGGCTGAAGTGGGCACCATGCCGCGCCCACGGAGACAAGGTGGGAGGTACGGACATCAGTCAGGGTGCAATGCTGGCTGGCCCTGTGAGGTGGGGTCTGAGCTGGTGCTGAGCAAGGGGATCAGGATGTCCCTTCATCACAGCCCTGGCTGGGACGCGGCACAGGCTGGTCCTGCCTCCTGTTTAACAGGAGCCCTATAGCCACTCTTCCACTAGCTCCTCCCACAAACACGCCGAGCCAGGTCCTGAGCCCGACGTGTCCCTGTGGCACCAGGGCAAAACATCCCTCCTCTCGCCATCAGAGCACAGACTACGTTTGCACAGACTCAGGCCCAGCCAGTCAGACCATGAGCTTTCCCTCATCCGGGTTACACTGTAACTGGCCCGCAACAAGGGTGGGGGGATGATGGAATCCACTGTGGGGAGCTTATGGGGTTCAACCAGTGCTGGAGACAGAAATCCAGGACATCATAAAGAAATGAACTTCCAGGCCTTATTCGCAACACTGTTCCTGTTCTCTCAACTCACTGCTTAACTAACCCTCCAAAATGCCAAAAGGTGATGCAGTAAGCCAAGGCATTGCAACATCTCTGTGCTGATGCTCTCAGAGGAGTTGGGCACAGCATTGCCTAGGCCTGGAGCCAAAAAAGACATTCCTAGATTTGTTTCCATGCCACAGTGTTTGCTCCCCAACAGTAACCAGGGAACAACCTGGAAACTTCAACCCTGGCAAATTTCAGCCCTGAACAGGATGGAATGGAGAACTGGAGAAATGCATTACTTAATGGCGCTTTAGAACAGCCTGCTCTAGAAGCCTGGATTTGGATCAACAACATAATGAAAAAAAAAATCAGGGAATCAAGGAGGGAACATTTTCGTGCCAGGGGAAAGCCTCCACGCACCTGCTGTGCTTTCCCATTGCAGTAACCAGTTGCTGGTGCAGAATGTGCATTGTCCATGAAGGTCCCATAGGGCATCACTTTATTTATCCCCCATAGACAGCCACTGTTCACAAAGGGCCTGCTCATGCAGTCCTTACTCAAGCAAGTCAATGAGAGTCTTGCCAGAAGGAGGCCAGCAGGATCAGGCCCTCAACCGCCTGCCTTGTTTGTCCCATTATTACACTCGATGGGGTTAAGCCCAGGGCCATCATGTCTGCTTCTGTTGGCCCAGCGCTGGGAACAGACTTACCAGGACTGACAGCGCATGGGCAGGAGGCACAGGCCCATGGTACAGGGTCAAATCATGGGGCCCCGTGTTCCAGGTCACTGCTCCTAGGCCCCCTTTCCTCGCCACATCTGTAAGGACAAGACGTAAAGAAACTAACTTCTCTCTGTCTCGCTGGGAACGGAGCCCCAAGCCTCAGGCTGGCTGGGATGCCAGATGCACAGACGGCTTACCGGAGCCAACAGGCTTGGTCAGTCTGAGGACACCCCAGGCTGCCAACCACGCGTCAGTTCCCAGCGGCCGCTGCTGCCCGCCTGAACCCTGGTCCCACGGGGTGGTGGCCGCCCCTCCACTGGGCCAGTGGTAAAAGCGGACAATCAGGATCATGTCCTCCTTCGGCAGCAGGTCCAGGAAAGTCACCTGGGGGAGAGAGAGGGGCTGCGTTTACAGAAACCTCCCTCAAGTGGGCCAGGAGTCTGTGCCTGTCTAGCGTAGATGCTTACACAGCTGTGTCCGAGTGCCCCACAATCACTAACGGACTTCCCCTCATGCCCCTGTGAGGAAGGGCAGGGCTGTTCCTGCCATTGTACAGCAGGGCTTCTGACACACAGAGAGATGAAGGGTCTGGCCCAGGGTCATGCAGGGAGTCCATGGCAGAGGCATGAATTGAACCCAGAGCTCCTGAGCCCCAGACTGGGGTCTTAACCACAGAGCCACGTCTCCTCCACAGCCACTGCCCTGCCCCGGCTCCTCACCCAGGAGCTGGTGTTCTCCAGCCTTCCCAGGGGAAGTGCGTCTCCTGGGCCAGCTTCTCGCCAGCCCCTGCAAGGCTCTCAGAACGCTCCCTTCTGCAGGCTACCCGGGAAGGCTCTGCCCCCACCCGCCGCCCTGCTCACTGAAACGTCCCAAGGGTGCGCTGGGCTCGGCGTGGCCCTCACCCCTCAGAGAGAGGGAGCTGCCACCTTCCTGCTTGTGCCCTGCTGGGCCTAGCGAAAGGCAATGCGATGTCCCGGCCTCCATGGCACTGCGACTCAAACGCAGGGTCACAAACGTACCCGCGCCGTGGTTTAGCATCGCACCCGAAGCTGCCCTTGGGGGCTGGGGAGAAGGGTGTTCCACATGCCAGGGCCCACTGTGTGGGTGCCACCCAGAAGGAATGGGCTCCTGGGCAGAGGAAGCAGACGTCTGTCCCCCTGTTGCAAAGACACCCCGACCTGCTGCAGGAACCAGGCTTCAGGATCAAGTGCCTTATTTTTGGTTCGTCATTAGAGGGAGTAACTCCAGGGCACACAGCTGGGTCTCTCTGCTCCCTGCGTCAGGGATCATGCGGTGTGCTACGGTGCATTAAGGGGAGACTACAAGCAGCCTGTGGTTTATGAGCAGGATGGACTATGCAACGGAAGAGTGGGGCAAAATTGCCAGTAGTCTGGCAGGGTTATGCATTAGGGGACTGTGGGTGTACTGTGATCAATGGCTCAGACTCCCAGACACCCCACACGCTGGGCCCGACTGCTGCGGCCAGGGAAGGCAAACAGAGCTGTACCCAACTCTCCCCAGGGGGGTCCTTTTAACTTGTGTCACTGATTCTGGACTCAGCGGCTTGGACCCATTTGGACCAGGGCTCCCCTGCTCTCTCTGTGGCCAGGGACTCAGGGCAACCTTGTGAAATCCTCACTTTGGGGATCCCCCCCCTCCAGCAACACCCCAAAGTTCTGTTACGCTACCTCCTGCTCCCCGAATATGAAGTAGCCGAGTTTAATGTTGGATCTCACAGGGGTCGTGTAGCAGGTCATCCCGGAGTTCCTGGTGCTGATCACCTGGACAGATAGACACACAGATGCACAAACCTATTAACAAGGGGAAGGCGTCAAGTCCTGATACTCCAGACTACGGAGCAGGTTTCCATTGCAGAGCAGCAACAGGGATCAATTAAGCAATAGCTCCCTACAAGTGATCTGCTCCCATCTGAATGGTGGAGGGACCAGAGCAGGGATGAAATGGGGCTGGAGCCCAAAGGACCAGGGTTCTGGTTCTTGTAGGGGTGGAACTGCTGTCCCCCCTATGCCCTATGGTGGCAAATGGGCCAGTCTGCCCTCTTCAAAAGGCCTACAGCTAGCAAAGCACGGGGTGCCCCTGAATGGCCCCACCTGACGTGGAAACAATCCCTCTCTTCAGCACCTTCCTCTCTAACCCCGGCCCAGGGGCTGGGGGTGCAGTCGATTCATTCAGACTCACCGTTTCCCCAAGCACAACAGTGTCGGCTCCTGGTGGGAGTCCTTCACCAGCTGCTCCAGGGGGTTGGGGATCTGGCAGCTGGTGCATTCACCCTGGCAGTGACCATGTTCAGATGCAGAGGTGAGCCCTACCTGTCCTGTTTTCTGGTGATAGCCGGTCAGCCTGAGGAGCCCGTCTCCCAGTGGGGCGCCTTTCACCCGGTCTATGATGAACCCCAACCTCTTCCCCGCGTCATCATTCCTGGGCTCTCCCCGCTGGGGCTGTGTCCTGCGTTCCTGGGCCTCCGTCAACTTCCCGCCCCGAAGGGCTGCTCCACCATGCCTGGAAGGGTTTGGCCCGATTACTGATTGCTGGGCCCTGCAGCAGCCTCGCAAGGGCAGGGCTGGCTCAGCAGCGGGGTTTGGGGGAGCCCTGCCAAAAGCCAGGAGGGCACAGATGGAGTAGAGACCCAGTGGTGAAAGGCCCCAGCCCCCTTCCCTGTCTTCAGGGCCACTTCGGTGGCCATTCTCCCTTGGCCCTATGCTCTGGGCCGCCTCCCCTTACCCAAACGGGACTGGGACAGGCCAGTGCGAGAGACGCTGGCCTCGTGGCCTGCAGCTGTGCGACCTGGGTCCTGCAAACGCCAAACCAGGGGAAGGGGCGGCCAGCAGCCAGACTCCTCGTCATCCCCTCCAGGGCTGTATCTGGGGGGCACCCCGTGTCACCTGTTGAACTACAGGGGCAGGCTTTGCATGGGGCTGAGCTCTGAGCAGCAGCAGCCCCACAGAATGACCCTGCTACAGCGTGGCCCGTTACTGCCCCCGCACCCGCAGTGCGGAGAAAGACAGGCAGCCAACGGGGAGAACCAGACAATCCGACAGTCTTTACCTGCAAGGGCCTTGCAGTGGTCTGTGATCCTCGAGCTTCTGGGGTCCTACGAGGACCCGGAAGTGGGGGGAAGAGAGGGGTAGGAAAGGGGGATGGGAAGAAGGGAGCGGCCGAGCTGGCTGCAGTACAGTGTACAGGATACGCAGGGGCCGCAAGGGTGTGTGCCGGTGTTAGGATACCTGGCGCTGTGTCCTGTGCTTCCCCCCCTGGGTCAGCAGCTCGTAGGTGGCGGAGGGACATTAAAGAGAAAGCCAGGGACCTGCTGCTGGCAGGGCATGGCCAGGCCCATCGGGATGGCACCAACCCCTCAGCCTGCTGAGGGCCAGCGCTGCGGGGCAGACTCGGAACAAGGGACACGCAGGCTGCTCTGTAGGATGAGGGGCTCGTTGAATTAGCACCGGCCACGTTTCCGGCTTCATCACGTGGTGACTATTTATACAGCCCCTTCCATCCCAGGCAGGACAGAAGGGTAACCGGGAGGTTCCTTACGGAGCCAGGAAAGGGCTGCCCCCGCCAATGTCGGTGGGAAGGACCAGGGCAGCTAATGAGACTCAGCCCATGTGCGCATGGAAGGACAGGGCACTAGCTGCTACGCTACAAAGATGACCTGGGAGAAGGCATGCGGCAAAGGCAGGGATGCTTGCAGTGCGGGAACCCTGAAATCAGGGACAGGGTCACCCCGAGCAGAGAGCCCAGGGAGGAGAAATTAGCACGTCAGCGTCAGACAGAGACACACCCCAGAGAATCAGAAACAGCTTTTGTTAAGCAGTGACAGCCAGGGCCAAAACCACCAAAGGTGAGAAAGAGGAGCTGGACTCTCCCCAGGCTGGGATCCCACAGACCCGGGACCCCTCGTTACTGATATTATTCACACGCCCGTCAGAACATGCCTGGAGGCCCACATGGAAAATCTATGCACACAGCCAATGGGTAGGGGTCTCCTTTAACTTAATGTCCAAGTGACCCCACAAGCCCCTACCTTCAGCTCTGCTATCCCCAGGAGAAAACTCTGGGGGCTTCACCATGTGCTGGGAAGGCCAATGAACCTGATGTCAGAGCAAGCGAGGGGAGCAAATTCCAAAGTGTGGGTGGGGGAAGGCTCTACCCCACCAAAGGAAAATGCCCGGATGTGTAGAGCCAGGAGCTATGCAGATTGCTCATTAACACCAGCAGAGGATCTTGCAGCTGATGTTGACTGCTCAGAACGCGAAAGCAACCTGAACTTGGGATAAAAACCTGGTTTGCAGCATTTGCAAGCTGGTAATGAATCTACAGCTCCTTCTTTAAGCATGGCTGCCCAGGCCAGGCGTCGTGCATTTGCAAGCAGTGCTTGGTATGCACGGTCATAGAATCACAGAAATGCAGGGCTGGAAGGGACCCTGAGAGGACATCTAGTACAGCCCCCTGCCCTGAGACAGGACCAAATAAACCTAGACAGTCATTTGCACCTGCAAATTACAGAACGTGCCCATCATGCCATGTGCTAACCCTGTCGGAGCACAGAATCTGGGCTGGACCCGCAGTGTGTACTCAAGCAAAGTTTCCAGCCGTGGGTGTTTTGCCTGCAGTCATGAGTGCTGGGTTTTAGCCTCTATCATTTACACGTGCAAATGGCTGAAAAATTGGGCACCTGGATTTAAAGGCCTTTAAAGAAAAAAAAACACCAGAACCCTCACAGTGTGACCCCAAAAAAGGACATATTCAAACCATTCAGAGAACACACAGTCCAAAGGCCCAGAACCTCCTGCCACTGCATTCAAAGGCAAAACTCTAACTGACTTCAATGGCAGCTGGATTGAGCTGTGAACCCTAAAAAATTACACTCATTACCCTGCAAATACAGAGAGACTCATGGGTACAAAGATTCTCTATGTTACAGGCGGAAGGATACAAAAAGTAGTGTCCCCCCCAAAATGCTGGCTGAAAAGTTTCTAACATTCCCTCCCTTTCGCCCCCTTCACCTGCACTCTGCCCCCTCCCCAGAACTTCCTCTCACATTTACAAAACCAGGCCACCAGAGAAACGTTTCCTTCTCCTATCTCATATGTAGAAATGCCTCTCTCCTTCCACTCAAAAATCCCCCCTGCCTGAGGTAACTAAGGGCACGTCTACACAGCAAAGGCGCTCAGAGATCAGGTCAACTGACCCGAGCTCATGCCGCAGGGCTAAAAATAGCAGTGTAGACATTTGGGCTCAGGCTCGACCCCGGACTCCAAGATCTTTCCTCCTACCTGGGTTCCAGAGCCTGGGCTCCAGCCCCAGCCCAAACATCTGCACGGCTATTTTTAGCCCCACAGTGCAAGCTCAAGTCAGCTGACCTGGGCTTTTGCTACCAAGGGGTCTTTTTTGCTGCATAGACGTACCCTCTGTGACGCGTGACTTTTTAAGTAGAGGTACAAGAAATAGTCCCATTACAATTCCTAAAACTGTTTTTCTGCAACACGAGGCATGCACAGAACCTAGAGAAGCATGCCATGGGCCAGCACCTCCTGCCTTTTGTCCGTCTCTGTCTATTGGTTTCTAAGCTCTCTGGCCAAGGAACTCACTCTGGATACATCTGTACAGCACCTAGGACAACAGGGCTCCAATTGCCTGGGGCCTGTGCACCTTACTGTAACACAAATACTCATTTCTATTACTAAAACTTGTTTGGGTTGGTCCCATAACTGACCGATGAGCCTGCCACCTATGAGTAATGCAGACACCCCAAAGGAGTGCTGATAAAACCCTATTCACCACCCCGTAGTGCCATGTATTATACAAACCCACATATGCGCATTTACACACACACACGCACGCACACTTCTTGGGCTATGTTTATGAATCTTTTCATCCCTTTTTAATACTACGTTTTGAGCATTTCCCTGACTCAGGGTTAGGGGAAGGGAAATCCCATTCCTGGAGGGCTACTCCTGGAATGGGGGGGGAAGGGCTGGAACATCCCCTTTCTCACCTTTGACTAGTTTTGTGCTGGACGGGTGGCTCCTGAATAGGAGGCGGGTCAACAAAGCCAGTGTAAGGAGGAGCAGAAAGGTACAGGCTGGTGGGGACAGGGTGGAAAGGGCGTTGGGTTGGAAGGCTGCCTGCAGGGGGTGCTGTGTGACGGGACACCTGTAATCAAGAGAAGAAAGCACATTAATTACAGAAAGCTTCCAGGATGGAGGGCCCGCTCCTGCTACAGAAATAACTATCTATTGGAGCCGTCGCACGGGCAGGAGGGGAGAAAGCTTCCTGGGTGACGTGATGCCGTTAGAGGACTCACTGGGCAGCCAGGGTTGAATCTCCGAGCCCTGGATCGAAAAAGCAGGAGCTGAGCAGAAAGACCCTGCCGGGAGACAGAGCACCTTGCTGGGCTTCAAATAGCAGGAGGCTTTGCGCCAAGTCTACCCTCCGACACCTGCCCGAGAGCGAGCCCGAGGCACATGGAGTGGAGTCCGTGCCGAGTGCCTCTCAGCGCGCGGGCAGAGCTAGGGTAACGAAATCCAGGGGGAAAACTCGCCATTGCAGGCCGGCAACAAACCATATGACCAGAGCACTTAGTACACTTCACAGGAACCCAGCCGGAGGAGACGAGCCCTCAGGGGCATGAGTTAGCTTCCCGCTCCAGGCTAAGCAGGGTGCTGTACAGGCCAGTGCTGGCATCAAACGCACAAGGGCTCCCGCTCACCGTGGGAGGGTACTGGTACATGGAGGCGTTGCCAGGATCGATCTCGGCCATCGACTGCACGTCGGCGTCTCTCGCATTCACCACCCGAAGGTAAAGCTCCGTCTTGCCAGCCTGTGGGAGGAGCCAGAGGTCAGTTCTCAGGAGGGCGGGTCTGGGACTGGAGAGGTATTATCACTCGGCTTTGGGCAATGCAAGGCCTGGAGCAGCCAGGCTGTTCTGCATTTCAGTGTCCACCATGTTTTGCTCTAGCCCGGTCTTAAAAACAGGGCTAGTGTTTGTTATTTCCACACTTGCTGAGCCCGGTAAGGGCTGGCGGGATTTTGCTGAAGCTTTAAGCGAATAGCTAACTGACCTCGAAGGTAACAGCACGAGAGCGTCACCCCAGAACGAGGAGGGAACGACCCAAAGAGGGGGAAGGGCAGGTGTCCTGGATCTCAGGAAGGCCTAGCAGCCTTGACTCTGCTCACCTGAGGGATCCCGTTCAGCTGCTCTGTTGTGAGGCCCGGCTGCACCGGAAGCAACCGGACCGGAATCTTCCATTGCCCGCTGATCAGCTGGTGGAGCTGGTCAAAAAGGTTGATTTTGGCCCATCCCCGGGAGGCCAGGCGCTGGATCTCCTGCCCGTAGGCGTCGAAGCCCCCTGAGGCCTGCAGCTCCATCACCAGAGCGATGGAGGTTGAGGGCCGGACTCTGGAAGACACGGACGAGGGAAGCCAAGTTATGGATGGAGGTGTCACAGAAGCGGGCAGATCTCTCCTCCTCGCCGCAGCCACTCCACACCCTCCCTTCAAGGAGCTGCTCTCTGTGCATTGCCTGGTTCAGAGCCTAAGGTCTCCGGGGCAGGGACTGGTTCTTAAAGTGCCACACACATTTACCAAGCAGGGGGAACGGTTTCTGGGTAATGGAAGTTGTCCGCAACATTTCGAAGAGCATTAATCAGCTCACTTCACACATGGCTGGGGCTCTCAAACAGGGACTGAGCCCCCCTCTCTCCGCCCCAGGTCAGCAAAGGCATTCTAGCAGCTCTGCCTAGGAATGCTAACCTAGCCCAGCATCAGGGCGGCAGTGCCCCGTGGGACAAAGCTCGGGCACCCCTCCTGTAGCCCGCCATGCAATGCTGTACAAAGGAACGTAGGATCTGCTGTAGCAGATCAAACCACTGGCCCATCCAGTCTGGGGTGCTTTTTCCAACAGTGACCAACACCAGATGCCTCAAGGGAAGGGAAAGCAGATGACGCCCAGCTGATTTTGCAGTGCTGTCCATAGAGGGAAAGTGTTCCTTGTCCAGCTGTTCCCAACCACCCGTTAAAGAGACATCCGGGGTAGCAGGGCAGGAAGAAGAGGGTTAAATTTGTTCCATACATGGAGGAAGAAGGTGGTAGCCGTTTGCCAACACAGCTCACCTTGGGACCGGCTGTTTAGTTGATAGGATTGCACGGTTGCCTCTCTGCCCGTCTACTACATACGGTGGGAACTGGACCATTTGGCAGTAAGCCACAGGGAGAGGGGTTGGCTTGCCCATCTCCTGCCCGTTACGGTAAAGCCCGGCCACTAGGCAAACCTGGAAGAAGGTAGGGTCCAAGCCCAGCAGGAAGTCGTAGAATATCACAAAGCCGGCCCTGTGAGGGAGGGAGAGGAGGCAGAGAGACAGGTGATGAGAACCTTCTGCACTGCACAAGCATCAATAGATGGGGAAACTGAGGCACAGAGCGGCGCCCTAGCTACTAGGCCACACTCCTGAAGGCAGATGTTAACTGCAGTGAAAAGCTCCTGGGTATCTGGTGGAAGCTCTTCCTGCTAGTGTGGGTCATTTGCCAGCAGCAGCCTTTGAAGAGAGCTTGTTCCAATGACCCTACTACACAGAGGAAGCATTTGATGCCTGGCTCCCCACAGCTGGGCTAAGGCCAGAGGTGGAGAGCAGCAGCTGCAGTTTTCCAACGGGGGTTGTTAACAGTTCTTGCTGGGGAGACATGAACCAGCTCTCTCGTGCCCTGTTGCCTTTCTCCGGCTGAAGCAAGCTGGTTAACATGTTCTCAACCCCCCAGGGCAGCTCATGATGGCCAGTTCCCAGGACACCTCCTACAAAGCAGAGTGGGAATTGCAGCAAAGGATTATGGGACATAGGGGTGGCTGGCCAATGACAAGACACGTACGCTGGGTCATACGGAGCAGGTCCCAGGGCGTCCGGAGGGTCCAGCAAGTGTCTGCTGAGATGGGTCTGAGGCCCCATTCGCTCCTGCAACAGGCAGAAATAGCATGAAGAGCTTCCAGACTGGCCCCCGTGCATCACAAACAGCAGCGCGGAGCAGCCGTTCAGCCAGACACCGGGCTGTGACTGCTAGACCTCACCTGCTGCCCACAGAGCCCCAGCCCTGCCGCAGGGCGACTCGGGGTCAGAGAAGGAAAGACTGGTTAAGTACGTGATCTAGCGGGAGGCGATTGCACGGTCTCCCACAGCCCAGTCTGGGGCTGCTTTGACAAAGCACCTCGCTTTGCTGCACTGCCTCTGCGGGGCTGGCAGCAGGAGAAAATGTCTTTGGGTTAGGGATGCGCAGGGAGCAGGCAGGGTGGGTGGGACAATGACAGTGTCACATTTCTGGCCATGCAGATGTTAACCTGCCATGTGGAGACCTGGAGACAAGTGGCATGCTGTGCACACGTTGGGTTCGGGGGTAGCTGTCAGTGTCACAACAGACAGACACCTGGGGGTCCACAGCTAACCATCCACCAGGTGCTCTGAATGCAGTCACACCCAGCTTTCTGCGAGGGATTTTGGATCATGCTGTCCAGGCAGTATTTCCTACAGTGAGCAGGACTGTAATTACAGCTACCATTAGAGGGCACTCAAAGCACCGTGGGAACTATTAGCACATGCCAGGGTCTGGGCACTTGGGAGCCACACAGAAGACCCACAAAAAGAAAAGGACGACTTGTGGCACCTCAGAGACTAACAAATTTATTTGAGCATAAGCTTTTGTGGGCTAAAACCCACTTCATCAGATGCACGCAGTGGAAAATACAGTTGGAAGATACACACACACACACACACACACAGAGAACATGAAACAATGGGTGTTGCCATACCCACTATAAGGAGAGTGATCAGATAAGGTGAGCTATTACCAGCAGGAGAGAAAAAAAACCTTTTGTAGCGATAATCAGGATGGCCCATTTCCAACAGCTGACAAGAAGGTGTGAGTAACAGTAGAGGGGAAAATAAGCATGGGGAAATAGTTTTACGTTAAAGCTTATGCTCAAATATATTTGCTCATCTCTAAGGTGCCACAGGTCCTCCTAGTTCTTTTTGCTGATACAGACTAACACGGCTGCCACTCTGAAACCTGTCACAGAAGACCCGGTACACCTGGACGTGGCTGGGAGGTTATGGTCTTCAGGAAGCCAGAGCAGAAACAACCTGGGAGCTGGTCTGCACATGAGCTTTTCTTTAGTCAGGAACTGGAACACCAGGAGGGGACCAGATCCTGGATTATTTCAGCCCCATAAGTGCCTCCTGGAGACATTAAAAGTCAGCTACCAAGGCAAAAGGAGACCTTGTGGGCCCCGCCTCCCATCCCCAGGGAAAGGACTCTCACCACGAAGGGGAGCTCACGCAGGCCTGGCAGAGGCAGGGGCGGGGGAGGTGGCCGGGGCGGGGCCACTGGCGGCGGGAGCATGGGTGGCGACCTCCTCCCAGCCCGTCGGGGCTGCATCCTCTCTGCGCCATGTCTCAGCATCCCGATCTCGGCGTGCAGCTGAGCCGTCTCCATGGTGTGCGCCCGCTCCTGCTCCATCAGCTCTTTGTCCAGAGCGCCTGGGGGAAGGGAGCCAAAAAGCAGAGGGGAGGCGCACTGCCAAGCAGCCGTGCAGCCTGAACGCAGGGCACCATAATGGGTCCTGGGCCACCTGGGCCACAGGGAAAGGGAGGGAGGGGAGCAGGCAGCCCAGATGCCCCGCTCCCTGCGCTGGCTCCCCATTCATCCTCACTGGGCTGCGCTCTGATGGATTCCTGCTCTCCCCACCCTGCCCCCAGGGTACCGCAACCCCAGCATGCACGGCACCCAGGAGCACGCTCACGAAGCTGGGCGCAAGGAGTTCTTGGGGCAGAGCTCCCAGCTGCAGGAGATCAGGAGCACAACACAAAGCTCATCTGTTGGCATCCGCCTTTCCTTGACCAAGGAGACAGCAACTCTCTGGCCAGCAAGTCCTTCCTGCCCTTAGTTCTCTCCACTCAAGGACAGGGCGATGTATGAAACTGAGCAGGGGGGTGCAAGGAAAGGGACCTACGGGGATATCACTGACCCTTCACGTCCTCGCACCCGGTGAGCCCATGTCCCAGTGACTGGGGCAGCAGGGATAGGGAAAGATAAACAATAACGTATGCGCAGGGACACCCATCCCAGCCAGGCACCGGCCTTACTGCAGATGCCCGCAGCTTCCCTTCACTGTCTTGGCCGTGAGCGGCCCACAAGCTGGCGCCCTGTCATGGCATCAGGGGCGATGGGCAGGAGACAGGAGAGCACAGCGCCTACCGCAACCAATATCACCTCCCTCGCCTGGCATTGGACAGGGCCATCGGGCCAGCGGCTCCCGCACCAGGGCTGCTGTTGATTAAGTTAACTCTTGGTTGGTGTTTTATGAGACATGTAACTGGAAAACATCTGCACTGCCCTTTATAGCTCCCGCCAGCAAGAACTGTGTGCAATAATTACCATAGCTTATTTAATGACCCCCCACCATGGGTCTTTGGCAAGGACTGACTCTCCGACCTTCAGCACCAAAGCACAGGCCTCCACCACTAGAGCTGAGGGAGTGACACCAATAACTAGCAGCAGTAGTAGGTTCTTTCCCTCTGTGTGGTGTCTGCAGAGGACACCACATGCATCCCAGGATGCATTATTGACAGCCCCCTCCCCCAGCGCGCTGTGGTATCAAAGCATCAACGCCGGCCCCACACAAGGAATGTAGCAGCGGCGACCAGAACACCCTCACCCAGCCGGGTGCTGAATCCTGGGCCCCTGGCAAGGGGCAGGTTGGTGTCATGTTCGGAAGTGATGGCTAGTGTATTTACATATACACCCGCAGCCGCCAAGGGAGGGGGTTACAGACCACACCGGGCCAAGCCCGGGCCGGTGTCAGAACGGTGCAGAGGGCTGGCTGACAGCCCGGGGGAAAGGGCAGCACGTTTCCAGGACACCCTGGGATTGGTACGGTCCTGGAAACGGAGCTGAACTAGGTCACTCTAGCTGTGCAGCCTGCTGCGGCCTCTGGATGGAGGCGGAGATGCGGTGTGACCTGGCAGCTCTTGGCCACAGTATCACGGAGGTGACTGCTGCACTCTCGCAAAGGTACCCCACACCCCACTGCACTGCAGCCGCTGTGATGCCACCAACAGCCGGCCCCGTTCAGGCGCTCTCAGGGATCCCTCTGGGCCACGTGCTCCGTGCTGCGGAGAGAGGCTGGACATGCCCTGCTTACCGTCATCTGCCCTCCTCTTGTCCCTCTGCATCTTCAGCTTAAAGAGCTCGTCCTCCAGCCGCTGATTCTCCAGCTCCACAGCCAGCAGCTCTGCGTCCAGGCCCCGGTGTTCTGCAATCACAGCAAGCGGGGACACTCACAGTTACACACAGGAAGAGCTGTGCCGGGGGCAGGGAGAGAGCAGGAGGGACTTGCACCTTCCACTGCCAGGCGCCAGCTGGGAGGATTCGAACTCAGACCCATGTCCTTGGCTTGCATGCAGGGTAGGAGTGTGGCGGCCTCTGAGGTTAGTGCTTTGCAGCTGTTCTGGTGCAGTGACGTGACGTTAATGCTGCACCTCAGTGTGCTAAGCCCAGGCTCCCAGACACCCGGAACAAGCTCCACTCCCAGGGGTCCCTGGAGGAGGGGCAGGAGGGACTTACTTTTCTTCCGCTCCTTGTGTTCCTGCCTCCCAGCCGCCCTCTCCAGTGCCGTGGCCTCCACCTGCAGGTCGTACATCTGTGCCAGAACGGCAGGGTTGCTCCCTCCGCCCTGCAGGTAGGCCAGGTGCAGGGCTCTGAGGGGAAGCAGAATGGAGTCAGGCCCCTGGCAGCCTACGTCTGAGGGAGCCTCTCTCAGCCAGGGGTGACTGAACCTCATGTGCACCCCCACCCCAGGCCCGACACAGTCCTAGTGGAGAGCTGCTAAGCTGGAGGGCTAAGGGCCAATCCGGCCTGACCCCAAGATGCTGGGCTAGATGGGACCTAGAAGGCCATTTCCATCTCTCCATCCTGAGATCCACAGCAGGAGCGGCCCCATTTAACTGCACCAGGGTCTCCCCAGTTACAGAAGTGCAGGGTTGGCCTGGGCCCCTACTGCTTCGGTGGAGCCGCTGGCAGCGGGGCTTGTGCACACCTTATTTCCGAGGAGAGGGGCCCAGCAGCCGGAGGGAACGGGATGAGACTGATGGAGACCTTCCCGCCCGCCTTCCCCGCGGCCTCGGCTGCGTTGGTACGGCTGTCTGGCTCCAGCCTGCTTCTGAAAATGGAACCAAAGCAGGGCGGGGAGTGAGATCTACCTGGGTTGCCGCTTCCCATCAGCATTTCCCCTCTGGTCCCTGTGCTTCATCTCCTAAATCAAACCTACGGCAGGAGCTGCCCTGAGACAGGAAACACGGTGGAGCCCAAAGGTCCCTGGGATTATCTCGGAGTCTTTGGCGGACAGGAGAAAGGAAGCCAGCATGGCCGAGGGACACCTCCCTCCCCGTCTGTATTATCATTAGCTTTGACCTCAGTTGGCACCTGTCCCTTCACACGCAGGCCCAAGGCCATCTCCTCCACAGCTCCCACTGGCTGGAGCAGCCCCCGTGTGTCCCTCTCCGTGAATTTTCAGATCCCAGCTGGAGGGTGAGGTCCCCTCCCCTTCTGCTTTCAGCCTTGTGCCTGAGAGCTCCCCTCATTCGCCATGGAGAGCTCCTAACTCCAAGGCTGGGCTCAGACTGACACCTCACACAGCTCTCCAGGCACCTCAGGGCCCAGGGAGCATCCAGGGATCCAGGCACCCACCATCAGCATCTAAATCTGGAGTCTGGGCCCAGGAGGTCTGTGCACCTGCTCTCTGGAACTGAGTTCGACTTGTGACTGTCCCTTCTCCTGCACTGTTTAACTCTGTGGAGCATCCTGGGGCCCGGTCAGCTCCCAGGGGGTCTGTGCCAGACTGTGCTGACAGATCACAGCATCAGCCCCACTCCCCTCCCAGCCTCTCCCCTGGCTGGGTCTAGGGTGACCAGATGTTCTGATTTTATAGGGACGTCCCAATTTTGGGGCCCTTTTTCTTATATAGGCTCCTATTACCCCCCTGTCCTGATTTTTCACATTTGCTGTCTGGTCACCCTAGCTGGGTCCCTTCTGAATTGGTATCCTCCTTCCAGCGAGCTCCTGCCCATCCACGTGGTAGCAGCATAAGCTCTTCCTTCCACTGGGAAGCGAGAGACACACCTCCTGCCAGGCCCGGGGATCAAGAGACCGAAGAGCAGGGCATGGTGGCGGGCTCCCCCAGCTCCACAGCAGCACCATGCTGCCCCCACACTAGGTGAGGACACTTGTTGGGTCCTCACCTCCAGGCTGCAGCCTGCATGAGCCCAATCTGGTCTCTCAGAGCATCCAGCGCCAGCTGGTTCTTCCCCTCCTGGGCCTTCAGCTCCAGCAGCAGCTGCTCGATGTACGTGGTGGAAGAGTTGCTGACGGCCAGCTCCGACAGGCGCCTGCGGATTTCTGCGGGACACACAGGGATAACTTCACCGCACAAGACTACAGTCGGTCCACCAGGATCCCCGCCTCTCTGCCAGGCCACATCACACACACAGTCCAGTCTCCCTGCCTCCCACCTGACTGCATCTGGATCTCCCTCCAGCACATCCCAGGACGCTGAAGGCAGCTCTGGTTGCTGGAGACCCAGCTGGGGTGTGTGACCCTAACCAATGGGAGTGGGCTTCTCCCATCCATTTAGCAACATCCCCCTCTTCTTTGGGATGCCCAGGCTACTGGGAACCGTGCGTCAGCCCAGTCAAGGCTGCCTGTCTGCATTCACCTGCCTCCCGGGATACTCCAGACTCGCTGCCCCACTGCTAATGGGAACAAGTATGAAGGGGAGAGAATTCAGCATAGGGGCAACATGCATGTTCCCCTCCTCCTACCCTCTCCCTGCTGCTCCAGATGCTGGTTCCTGGCCTGGATATCAGCCACCTGGTGCTCGTGCGCCTTCGCTATCTCCTGCAGCCGCTCCCTGTACCCCTGCTGGTGGGAAATCCGACGGCTGGCATCCTCCTGGAGGACAAGCAAAGCCCACAGGAGCAGAAGGCATAACACCACGAGAGCCAATTCTAGTCAAACTCCGTGCAAGGGTGGAGGAGCCCACGGGGTGCTGAGGACGACCCCATTCTGGACAAGCTCAGAAAGCCCTCGACTGGCTCAGCCAGGGAGGGGCGACAGATGTGCTGTCTGCCCAGTTCACATGTAGAGAGTCAGGCACCGGGTTAGAGGCCCAGATTTTGACAGGAGGAGGCTGGGAGCGAGGCGGGGGTGGGGGTCCCAGCTCTGGAACTGCTCTCCATGCTGAGCCAGTAGCGTCAGGGTACAGCACGAGGCTCATCCCTTCAGCTAACAAGGCGAGACAGGACGCACGGGGGCAGTTCTAGCTACCTGTGGGTCTCGTTAAGTTTGCAGAGTTGCCAACTCTCACCACCCTGGGGATTTTCGTAAAGCCGAAAGCTTTGCCCTGCCAATAACCTCCTCTCTCACACCCTGGAGTGGCTTCAGCACCATCCACTGAGAGAAGGCTGTTGGGTCTACAAAACCCAGGATGATGGTATGTGTTTATGAGCCACATCTGCTGGCCCCCTATCTTTTAACTAGGTACATATGTACAGTCGCTCTCGCAACAGGAGTGACTTCAGGCCTCCGCAGACCTGGGCAGGATCTGACCGAGTGACCAAGACTTCTCTCTGTATCCCAGTGTCCAAGGCGTTCCACCCTCTTCTGCACGGGTTCTAATTGCCTCCCGTTCCCTGCATATTTCTCAAATCACAGAGTTGCCCTTGCTTGGTTTTACCTCTGGCTTTAAGGGCTGGAGAGTAGGGACAGTGTCCTCCAGAGACATCCTCAGTTTGTGGAACTGTTAAAAGGAAGAGAAGTGATCATGTCCTGACAGACATTCCCTCCTTCTGTATCAGCACAATATAAAAGCTAGGACAGGGACCCAGAGGTAGCTAGGGGTTGCTGATGCATTAAACCCCTTCAAAGGTTCTGGTGAGAGAATTAACTCAGCTAACCCTGAAGACCCTTTAAAGGTACAAAATGAGTGACTGAATCTTGCACCACACACGCACCGCCCACTGTTATCTCATATCCCTAGAAATGTTATGGGTCTTTTGCTAGCTTTTCAAATCACCCCATGATTTTCCCAGAACCCCAAAATATATCAGCTAAGAAGCCGGGGCCACACTTATGGACGCAAAGTGTAGCAACCTGCATGGAACCCAGCGGGAGGAGCACAGGTTGCAGGAGGGAAGAGTATGAAGAAAGCACCAGGCCGTCAGTCTGTGTGCGCATGGCTGCAATACACTCGCTGCAGTTGCAGCACCTCTGTAAATAGTGCTCTTAATAAAGAACTAATTTAGTTTTACACACATGGCGTCCTTTCATGATATTACCCGGCACACAGCACAGGAAACAGAAAGGGTCACTCCCGCATTCACCCGGTGCTGTGGCATGCAAAGCAGCAATGGGGACTCCTGGGTTCGTGCTCCCCTCAGTGCCCTGCTTTTTAACAGCCCTTGAAAATGTACGGGACAAAGATATACATCGCAGGAGCGTGTGGAAAGGGGCAGCAGCCTCCCTCACCCATACAGGATGCTCAGTTGCCAGAAGCGTCCGTAACCCATTCCCTGATTCCATCTATGGGCCCGTGAAATGGGGATCTGTGGGCTGCACGGAGGAGCCACGGTTGGGGACAGCGGAGGGTGAGGACCCAATGTAAAGAAGCGGGGAACTCCAAATTCCAGCACAACAGTCACCATTGCTTGCACTCAGTACCTCCTCAGCCAACTTCCTCAAGGCCTGGCTCTCCGAGGGGCTCCGTTTAAGCTCATAGCCTCCGAGCAGGTTCCTCTCACGGTGGCTCAGGAAGTCCTGCGGCTGCTGCCCCAGACGGACTTTCCTCACTTGCGGGCTGCTCAGCTGCCGCCGCTGGACCAGGAAGCAAAGGACCACAGTGGGGGTGAGCGACAAACACATGGGCCCATTAATGTGGGTGTGGGAGGGGGGGCCAGGGGCCATGGCCTGGAGCAGCAGGCCTCAGACTAAGACCTGGGGAACCCCTGCACAGTGCCAACAAACTGGGTCTCCCACCTCCAAGACTTGGATCCGTGCAGCTGTAATGGATTCTTAGACTGACACTGTACTTCAAACCAGGGGTTCTCACCCTTTTTCTTTCTGAGTCAGGAGTTTTCAGGAGTTTTGCCACTGACATCAATAGGGCCAGGATTTCAGGCAAGGGATACATGCACCACTGTCTGAGAACCGCTGCCTTCCACTGCTTTGGAAATCTCCGGCTTCATTTCTGTGTGGCCAGCTGCATGTTAGGATGATCCCCGTTCTCACCTAAAGGGGCCGCTGCTTTAGCCCAGAGCTGGGGCAAAATAGCTAAATCTGATTACCTGCCCCACCCCACCCGCCAGGCCTCCTCCCAAAAATGCAACACACCTGGTTAATCCCCCTCTGCAATATCTATATGTCCCCAAGTGGCCCTCCAGGACAAGGGACGGGCTGAATCTCCAAGTGATAGCCACATGTCCTCCTGTGCTGGGATACACTGTTCGCAGCAGGAAGTGGAAGCTGTATGGGGAAAGCTCTGGTGATGGGACTGGGTGGCAGGGATGAGGTGCTGGGCTCAGCCTCTCACAAGAACATAGAGCATCTTCCAAGCCCCCTGTGAACATTCATCAAGTCTCAAGGCCCCACAGCGAGGTGGGCAACTACCATTATCCCTGCCTCACAGGTGGGGGAAACTGAGGCACGGAGCGGGTAAGTGAGTCATCCAAGTCCACAGAGCCAGTCAGTGTCAGAGCCAGGATTAGAATTTAAGCAGCATCCAATTCCTATAGTGATGGGTGCCAGCATAAAAACCCAGTGAGACAGATAGATCTACAGAGCTTGCAGCTCAACGCTCAGACCACTAGACCGGGCTATCTCTCTACCAGCACCTCTCAGCCTGTGGGGCTGTGACCAGCACGTATCTGGGGAATGGAGGTGGTAATTCTACAGCTTGTTTAGGTTCTTTTATTGTGCCCACCCAGCAAGGTACCTGAGCACCCCACAGCTCTGAATCTTGGTGCTGTCTGGCTGGCAGGGACATTACAGAGCCCATGGGGTACCCGCTGCAGTGAGAACAGTGTCTGGAGAGGAGTGTTGAATTTTGGCAGCACGTACTATTTAGCCACCACTCGGCACCCCAGAGGTGGCTGCATTTTCACAGAGCTATCAAGCACTTCAGGAGGGAAAGCCCTGTAGAAATATAAGCTATTACAACGGAATCAGAGGGGGAGGGATTATTTGCATCCGGATCCCTTCTGGAGTCTGTCCGGCTTATTTGTTGCACCCAGCCTGTGGAATTCAAATGCAGGAGGCTTTGGGGAATGGACTGGGAGTGGGCAGGGCTGGATTACCCACTTGTTCGCTTACACGCTGCCATCTCCTAGCAACTCAGCAGACAAGCCTGGTGCAACACTAGGTTTCCGTTGGGGAGTGAACAGCACTTTTCAAGGCTGGTTCATGCCAGGGTTCACACCCACTGCCAAGTGCTGAGCTGAAGAGAGCTTCTCTCTCTTCCTAACGGCTGGGTGCAACACAGGGCTTCCACGGGCTGCCTGCTGGTGAATGCACCATCCCCTCAGCAGGGGAGAGAGAACACACTGAAGGGATAGGAGGAAACCCTCTCCCAGAGGTCCCAAGCTGGGTGGGGTCCCCCCATTGTGCTAGGGGCTGTACATACATACAGTGAGGCAGCCCCTGATTACATTAAGAACATAAGAATGTTCAGATGGCCCATCTAGCCCAGTCTTCTGTCTTCTAACAGCGGCCAGTGCCAGGTGCCCCAGAGAGAATGAACAGAACGGGTAATCATCAAGTGATCCAGCCCCTGTTGCCCATTCCCAGCTTCTGGCAAACAGAGGCTAGGGACACCATCCCTGCCCATCCTGGCAAATAGCCATTGATGGACCTATCCTCCATGAACCTATCTAGTTATTTTTTGAACCCTGTTATAGTCTTGGGCTTTCACAACATCCTCTGGCAAAGAGTTCCACAAGTTGACTGTGCGTCGTGTGAAGAAATGCTTCCTTTGTGTTTGTTTTAAACCTGCTGCCTTTTAATTTCATTTGGTGACTCCTAATTCGTGTGTTATGAGGAGTAAACAACACTTCCTTATTTACTTTCTCCACACCAGTCGTGATTTTATAGACCTCTATCACGTCCCTCCTTAGTCGTCTCTTTTCCAACCTGAAAAGTCCCAGTCTTATTAATCTCTCCTCACATGGAAGCTGTTCCATACCCCTAATCATTGTTGTTACCCTTTTCTGAACCTTTTCCAATTCCAGTAGATCTTCTTTGAGATGGTGTGTCCATACGTGCACACAATATTCAAGGTGTGGACATACCATGGGTTTATAGAGAGACAATGATATTTTCTGTCTTATTATCTATCCTTTTCTTAACGATTTCCAGCATTCTGTTTGCTTTTTTGGCTGCCGCTGCACACTGAGTGGAGGTTTTCAGAGAACTGTCCACAATGACTCCAAGATCTCTTTCTTGAGTGGTAACAGCTAATTTAGACCCCATCATTTTATATGTATAGTTGGGATTCTAAACAGATGAGAGAAACCAATGATCCAGAACTGTTAGAATTAAATCAAGATGAAAAATTACCTGAAAAAACAACTGAGCGTGTGCCCTTTTTTGGTTCGTTATGATTTATCCCCAAGGTTTGGGGGTTTGTTCCCTAATGTATGAAGATCCCACCCCCTTCCAGAAGTGTGTGCTTTTTCCTGCTTGCTTTGTACATTAGAATTTCAGGTCTCTTCTGCCCTGGAAACCTCTATGGATGACTGGGTTTATGACAGCAGGATTTCTGAGAAAGGAGAACCTGACAGAGGGCGAGTGCATTTTAGCCAGATTGTTTCAAGCTCTTTGGTTTTGTTAACTCCTATTTAACTCAAACATCTAGCAGACAAAAGTCTCTTTGCTAAGGATTCAGCACCTCCTGTCTTTCGGTTTAGGGCTAAGAGGGTTCCCAGTCCACTTCTCTGCATCAGCCAAGATGTTCTCCAGCACAACAGGGAAGGAAAGACTTACCATTCCTGATATTTCTAAGGAAAACAGGCTTAAAAGAAAATTCTATTCTGGCTTCTTTCTACATCTCAAAGCAGGGGAAAAAAAAAAAAAACGGAGGGTGGGGAGGGGAGGGGAGGGGAAGAGAACAAGCCCATTGGAAAGAAACAAACCAAGCAGTAAGTGAAGTCTATGAAGAAGCCCAGTCCAGCTGGCTGTACCGTGCTGAGGAAGGGACTTGGGAACCTTCCTTCTTTTCATGCTTGGGGCCTGCTCCAAAGACATTTCCCATGCTGCATGCTGGGAATAAAACCTCCCAACACTCCCTCCAAGGCACTTCTTTGCCATATTTCTGCGGTCTAGCTACCAGTGGGGAGGCAATGAGCAGGGGTGGAGCCTGGTTAGCCGCACATCCCTGCAGACCAGCCCTTGATGCAGGAAAGGGCTTAGATTACCGTGTGGTCTGGAGTCTCTGTGTTCCTGGGCATCTTCCTCCCCTGCAGGCCATGCTGCTCCTGGTGTCTGGCATGGAGAGAAAAGGAGTCACCTGCTGCCTGACTCCCAATGCAGAACTTCTCCACATGCTTGTCCAGCAGATGCTTGGAGCGGAAGCCCATGTCGCAGCTTGGGCAGCAGAAAATCCTCACGTCCGTCATGCTGCATGGGAACAGGGGCCCCAAAGTGCCTGGTTCTCCTAAGGGGGGTTTCCCCCAGGTCCGCCGGTCACAGTTGCTCCAAATACCTAGTCCTGGAGCAGAGTCAGTTAAACAGACGATGAGCCTTTAGATGGCGGTTTCCCTCCTCAAGGTAAGTCCCTAACCCTCCCCAACAAGATGCAGCTCAGCGTCATCGTAATTTCCCAACCTGCTCTAATTATTATCCCCATTTTAAGGATGGGGAAATAGAGGCACAGAGAAACCAAGGGACCACAACGGGAGTTGGCGTCAGAACTGGGATTAGAGCTTGCGTGAGCCTGGCTCCTAGCCCCAAGCTCAGTCCACCAGACCTCGCTGCCTGAGACGGGGGGGCACCAGGGTGTAAAAAGATAGACACACACCGGGACAAAACATAAATAAAGTTACTAGGGTCACTCGCCAGTTTGGGGGTGGGGGAGAGACCAAGCTTCCCTCTCCCCAGTTAGATGCTGCAGCCATGTCCTTGCCCAGGATGCTCCAGCAACTGGGGCAAATTAACATTTATAGGGCTTCAGGTTTCCTAGGTGTCTAATGAACCTGCTCTCCAATTTCCTAAAGGTGGGGGAGGGATGGGAAGACTACCCCCTCCCCCTTATTTTTTGGTCTTGCTGCATCAGGCTGGGAGAGGGGGGGAGACCAGCCCATTCTTGCCCTGGCATGGGGCACAGCTGCCTGCCAACGCCTTCTAACAAGCCCCCCAGTTCAGGGGCAGAGACTCATCGGCCACATGGCTCCAGTGAGATTGCGATTCAATCAAGGACTGACCTGTGCTGCGGCCGAGTTGGTTGTAAGGGTCCCATGCGGGTACTGCCGAGCTCTGGCTTCAGGGCTGTGAGCTGCAGTTGCTAGACTGGTAACCGGGGGTGGTACCAGCCCAGTGGTGTGAAGGGGGAAGGGACAGGAGCTGAGGAGCCAGGCCTGTTAGCAACGGGAGGATTACCATGGCTGTGGCCTGTTTGTGTTTGGCCAGGCGGCCATTGGTAACAGGGTCGCTGGCAGAACAAGAGGTTCCTCGCATTGAAGGGAGACAAGCTGGTTTGACCGTCAGAGCAACACAGGAGAGAGGGACGAGACACACGGAGCAACAAGCCCCACTAAGCCATCTTTTAAGGACTCTTTATGGGGGAATTGCCATTCAAGGGCTCTCCCTTAAAGAACTGACAGCCTGGCAGAGGCTGAGAGTGAGAGGATGATGCCTGCTGCATTGTCAACGAAACCCAGACGCCCTGAAATGAGAAAACTGTCCCTGTTCGTTGGGTAGAAGGGCTGCCCAAGCAGGTGCACAGACAGTGCAGCCTTTGGGGATCCCAAAACAAAAGTACAGAAGAGAAAGTTTAATAAAACCCTTGCCCAGCCTAAGGGCCACCTTAGGAGGAGCTTGAGGGACACAGCGCGGTTCCTCTTAATGCAAGCAGCTCACGAAGGTGAGTGATCCTGCCAAGGCCTGGATGTGACTGAACCGGATTCCCAAGAAGAGGACCCTCCCCCCCAAAAAAGCATCACAGGAATATTTTGGCAGAGCACCCATTGCATGGAACGACACCAAACGACACATTCTGTTACACCCAGGCTACCTTGCCGATTCCAATGCAGTGCATACTGAATTTCCCATAGCCTCGTGCAACTTTGCAAGAAAGGTCATGAGAATTTACCAGCATCCATGTTTTTAGTGATGAAAACATCGTACTTACCCAGCCACACAAATGACTTGCCCTAGCTCAGGAGGAGAGCAACGTTTTGTAAAGCTGGCATAGTGCAAAGAGACGCATCTAGAACAAAATCCCCAACTATCAAAGTCTCATTTCTTTAGACCTCAGCTTCAAGTCCTGCATCATAAACGGCACTTGATGTGATTAGTAAGGGGCACAGAAGTGCTGTTCTCCAGCAGTCGGACATCGAGACTCTTTGTAAAGGAGAGGGGAGTGCAGTGACCATCTCTGCACCATGGCACTTGCTGACATACCGAGTTAGTGGGGAGATGTGATGAGAGGCAGGAGTTAGGCTTCCCATCCTTGTTTTAATGGGAATAGACTTGATCATTAGATATTTATAAATGATCCAACCAAGACTTTCCTTTATCCCATCAGGCCTTTAACCTCCCCTATAGCCCTGAGGCTGTTAGCTCCCCTAGTGAAGTACGCAGAGCCAAGAAGCAGTTTTTATTTAGGAGAGGTTCCCAGTGCCTTTATGTGGGCAGCTGCAGGCCCCTTGCTCTGCAGTTGCCTACAGCAATGCACAACACACTGAACCTGTTTTCAAAGCCAAGGAGGTAAAATAGGACGATTAGCTGAGTTAAAGGGTCACTTCAGCAGTTGAGCTGCAGGGGGAGCCTGGAAGTGCAGTGAAGAACATACAGTAACAGAAAAAGTTACCTGCTAGCAATGAGAATGCACCAACTTCATGGAGCTGACATGGCCTCAGATTCCTTTACACATTGCTGAATGTATGAGAGAGAGATCAACAGGAATCCAACCCTCCCTTTACAAACCCCCTCAATGTCTCTGGCAGTCTGCTACTCAGAGCTATACTGGTTGAGCTCCCCTGTAGTTGTCCAATGTCATTCTTCATTGCCCTCTGCTAGATTTAACACATTGTTTGCAAAAGTTTGAGGGCCTGAAGATAACACTCTAAACACAAGGAAAAGCATGCAAGAGCCTGGCCCTGCTGCCCCCTTTCTGTCCCCCTAGAAGTTATAATTACAGTTGTTCATAACAAAATCTAGTCACTGCCCTACTCGTTAGCAGGCTACAGAAGTCTGTATGATTGAGATCAGTACCAAGAGCTCTACAGAATTGTGAGCCTTTGACTCAGCTCATCAGGAGAAGGGGGCTTGTTGAGCCTGCAAAACTACCCAGGATGGATGGAGTTGGTTTGAGGTGAACTCACTCATCCCTCTGGAATGCTCAGTGCATCCCATCTTCTTTACTTCAGACTAAGTTCTAAGGAGGTATCACCTTTAGGATTTGCGTACTGTACACAACAGCCCAAACCTTTCCTTGGAACAACACAATAATTCATCTAAGAAGCCAGTGCTACTGGTGAGAAACCCAGCATCCTCTTCCAGTGGTTGGAATTCTTACTAAACTGCTATCCTTGTACCCTGTTGTATTTGGTATCTACTTCTGGCTAATGGGTTCCTGATAAGCCTAGACCCTGCAATCTGGCTGCTGGGTTGGCAAATCAGCTTGTGCAGTAACTGAGGTTCTTGGAGATGGTTGTCCAAAGTGAGCGTCTGCAGCTGTCTGCTGTTCCAGGGCATAACGTTTGGTGAAAGTATGGGGCGATGCCCATGTAACTGCTTTACAAATGTCAGTGATGGGTACATGTTTGAGAAAGGCTATGGATGTGGACATAGCTCTAGTGGAGTATGTGCGAAGTCCAGAAGGAACTTGCAGATTGTAATTTTGGTAACATATTTGGATACAATTAGAGATCCATTTAGAAAGTCTCTGTTTGGAAATGGTTTGGCCTCTTGATCATTCTGTTGTGGATACAAATAGTCTGGACGATTTTCTGAATGTTTTTGTTCTCTCTTCATAGAATGCCAGCGCTCTGCGGACGTCTAGTGTATGAAGGGACACATCCCTGTTATTGGCGTACGGCTTGGGAAAGAATACAGGTAAGTGAATGGGTTTGTTGAGATGGAAGGAAGAGGCGACCTTGGGTATGAATTTAGGGTGTGGGTGTAGGATGACTTTGTCCTTGAGGAAAGTGGTATGAGATGGGTGTGCCATTAGGGCACCCAACTCTCCCACTCTTCGTGCTGATGGGATAGCTACTAAAAAGGTGACCTTCATGGATAAGTGTAGGAATGAGCAGATCAATAGTGGTTCAAAGGGTTTGCCCATCAGGGCACGTAGAACAAGGTTGAGGTCCCACATAGGGGTCTGGTCCCTTAATGTGGGATAAGTGGTCTCTATACCCTTGAGAAAATGCTTAGTCAGTGGATGGGTGAAAACAGTGAGTCCGTCCACCTTGTCGTGAAAGGTGGTGATGGCTGGTAAGTGTACTCTCAGTGACCTAGTTGAGAGGCTTGACGTTTTTAGTGTCAATATGTAATCAAGGATATTGGGTAATGGGGTCGATTGTGGAATGATTTGCTTGTCTCTGCACCAGACAGAGAATCTTTTCCACTTGCGTGCATATGTTTTTCATGTGGAGAGATGTCAGCTGTTAAGAAGAATGTCTCGGACCTTCTTGGAGCAGCATGTTTCAAGTTCTGTCATCCCTGGATTAGCCAGGCTTTAAGATGAAGTGTTGGAATGTTGGGGTGATGGAGGTGTCCTCTATCCTGGGTCAGTAGGTGAGGAAGGAGGGGAAGGGTTCGTAATTTGACACGTGTAGGACATGATTCAACAGGAGGATCGGGGGGAAGGCATACAGGAGTGGGGCCTCCCAAAGAGTTTTGGCCCAGTTTCGCTCGGGAGCAGTATTGTGGGCATGTGGCATTGTGGGTCGTGACAAAAAGGTCTATTGAGGGGAATCCCCGTTGTCGGACTACAGTTTGCAGAATTTGTGGGTCTAGTTCCCACTAATGTGTCCATAAGAAGTTCCTGCTGTGGTCTCGTCTGCTGTGGCATTCTGGTTTCCAGGTAGGTAGGATGCCGTGATGTGTATGTTGTTGGAGATGCACCATTGCCAGAGGTGAACTGCTTCTGTGCAGAGCAGGTAGGATTGGGCCCCTCGTTGGCAATTTATACAAAACATAGTCGCCAAATTGTCTGTGAGAATCTGGACAGTTTTGTTGAGGATTGGGGGAGAAAGTGATGGCAGGTGTTTTGAACTACTCAGAGCTCCAGTAGATTTATTTGGAGATTTGACTCCTCTAGGGACCATCGGCCCTGGATGATGATGTCGGCCAAGTGTGTCCCTCACATCCTACCAGAGGCGTGTCCGTGGTGATAGTGACTGATGGGGTTTCCCTCTGGAAGGGAACACCTGAGCAGACCTTTGTTTTGTCCACCATGTGAGCGACTCTTTCACTCTGCTGGGCATTGTAAGCCATCTGTTGATTGAGTCTCTGTGAGGAATGTAGACAGTGTGTAGCCAGGTTTGTAGACATCTCATACGCAGCCTGGCATGTTTCACAACAAATGTGGTAACCGACATGTGTCCGAAAAGTTGTAGGAACATTTTGGCGGACGATTGTGGGCTGTGTCTTACCGTTACGGTTAGGGTTAAGGCAAGAAACGGTGGTTGGGGTAGCCATGCTGATGCCGTGACACAGTCGAGGTGTGCCCCTATAAAGTCTAGTTGTGGGGTTTGGGTCAGGGTGGATTTCTGTAGGTTGGTTTGTAACCCTAGGTTTGTAAATAGGGTTAGAGTGGTGGAAATAGCCTGGACTGTCTCGTCTTATGTCGGTGCTTTTAGCAGGCAGTCATCTAGATAGGGGAATGTGGTCACACCCTGCTTGCGAAGGTGTGTTACTGCAACGGCCAGTACTTTGGAAAATACCCTTGCAGCCATGGAGAGGCCAAAAGGAAGTACCTTGTATTGGTAATCCAATAGGTTGTCCAGAGTGAATCGTAGGAATCTCCTGTGCACCAGGTGGATAGTGACATGAAAGTAAGTGTCCTGTAGGTCGAGGGTCAAGAGCCAATCTCCTTTCTCCAAAGCCAGAATTATGGTTGCTAGGGTTACCATCTTAAGCGCTGCGTTCTCACAAACTTGTTCAGTTTGCGCAAGTCCAGAATGGGCCTCCATCCGCCTGTTTTATTCGGAGTGAGGAAGTAATGTGAGTAAAACCCCCAACCCCTGTGCTGAACCGGTACTGGTTCCAGAGCACCTAACTGCAGGAGATGGTTTGTTTCCTGCTGTAATAGATACTCGTATGATGGGTCCCTGA